TGCATTCTTCCATGACCCACTTTTTTCATCTGACATTATTTTCCTGGTGCTTATGTACACAGTTGTGTGGAGCTAAGATTCACTCATTTGCACTGCCACATTGGCATTTCATTGAATGAATATACTTTAATTCTACTGTTGATGGACATTTGGGTTGTTTGTAGTTTTTCTGCTACTACGAACAGTGTTGTTAAGGTGTTTGTTAAGACTGTACTAATGCCCAAGTAAATGAGTTTCTTGATCGCAGTGATTCTCAATACTCACTGAGTACCAGAATCACTGGGATGCTTTTAAATGATACAGGTGCCTAGGTTTCACACTGAATTGAAATATATCTGGAGCTGGGGCCCAGACATCAGTATTTTACAAGCATACCATAGTAGTTAGGGGTGAGATCTATTGCTGTGGAGCACCGGCTTGGGAATGAAGTGCTGAGTCATAAGTTACACGCATCTTTAACTTTACTAGATAGTGTCAAATTGTTGAAGTGATTGTACTTTCCCATGGAAATAAAACCAAACTGAAACAATTGTGACTTTGACTGGGATTGGACTGAATTTTTTACCCCCAAGTATTTTAGGACTTACCTACCTTTCCATTATTTTTAGCTTAATTCCATTCTGTTCTGAGGGCAGACACTAGATCATTTCTATTTTTTTTTTTAATTTATCAAGGCATACTTTAGGGTGAATGTGGTTTATCTTGGTGAATGTTCCATATGACCTTGAGAAAAATGTGCATTTTGCTCTTGCTGAAGTGGTCTAAAGATGTCCATTATATCCAATTGATTGATTATGTTAAGTTCAGTTATGACTTTGTTTTTCTGCCTGTTGGATCTGTCCATTTCGAATAGGGGTGTGTTTAAGTCTCCAACTATAATAGTGGAGTCATCTATTTCTCCTTGCAGTTCTCTCACTTTTTGCCTCATGGATTTTAATGCTTTGTTGTTATATGTATACATATTAAGGATTTTTATGTCTTGTTGGAGAATTGACTTGTCATTATAAAATGCCCTTTATCCCTGATAACTTTCCTTACTCTGCAGTTTGCTGTCTGAAATTAATATATTTACTTCTGCTTTGATTAATGTTAGCATGATGTATCTCTCATCTATTTACTTTTCAAAGATTTTATTTTTTTAAAAGGTTTTTAAATTTATTCTTTAGAGAGAGAGAGAGAGAGAGAGAGCATGAATGGGAGGAGAGTCAGAGGGAGAGGGAGAAGCAGGCTCCCCACCAAGCAGGGAGCTGACTCAGGGCTTGACCCCAGGACCCTGGGACCATGACCCAAACCTAAGGTAGACACCTAACTGACTGAACCAACCAGGAACCTCTAATGATTTTAAGTAGTCTCTACACCCAACATGGGGCTTGAACTCACAACCCCAAGACCAAGAGTCACATGCTCCACCAACTGAGCCAGCCAGGTGCTTCTTTTGCCCACTTACTTTTAATCTATATATGTCTTTATATTTAAAGTGGATTTCTTGTAGACCACACATATAGGCACACCTTGGGGACATTGCAGGTTTTGTTTCAGATCACTGTAATAAAACAAATATCACAATAAAGTGAGTCAAATGAATTTTTGGCTTCCCAGTGTATATAAAAGTGGTGTTTATACTCTATTGTAGTTATAAGTGTGCAATAACATTATGTCTAGAAAAATAATGTATATAACTTCAAGAATACTTTATTGCTAAAAGATGCTAACCATTATCTGAGCTTTCAGTGAGTGGGCCTGAGATAATCACTGATCACAGTTCACCATAACAAACACAATAATGAAAAAGATTGAAATATTCCAAGAGTTATTGTGACACAGAGACATGCCTTCATTCGTTTCACTTATACATTAAGCATATATATACACACACACACACACACACACATAAATAATTGAATACATTGTTGCTATTATTTTGAACAAACTGTTACATCAGTTAAGAACAAGAAAAAATAAGCTTTATTTTACCTTCATGCATTCCTCCTCTGGTGTTCTTCCTTTCTTTTTTTTTTTTTTAAAGATTTATTTATTTATTCATTCAGAGAGAGCGAGAGAGAGGCAGAGACACAGGTAGAGGGAGAAGCAGGCTCCGTGCAGGAAGCCCGACGTGAGACTTGATCCCGGGTCTCCAGGATCACACCCCGGGCCGCAGGCGGCGCTAAACTGCTGCGCCACCAGGGCTACCCAGTTCTTCCTTTCTTTATGTAGATTTTTGAATTTCTCACCTATACCGTGTTCCTTCTAAAAAAGTTTTTTTTTTTAAGATTTATTATTTGAGAAAGGGTGAGTACATGAGTTGGAGGGCGAGGAGAGGGACAGAATCTCAAGCAGACTCCGCACAGAGTGCAAAGTCTGATGTGGGCCTCAATCTGACAACCCTGAGATCACATGACCAGAGCTGAAATCAAGAGCTGGATGCTTACCCAACTAAGCCACCCAGGTACCTCAAGTTCTTTTAATATTTGCTGCAAGACAAGTCTACTGGCAACAAATTCCAATTTTTGCTCATCAGAGAGAGTCTATCTTGCCTTCACTTTTGAAGGATAATTTCACAGGGTATAGAATTCTAGGTTGGCGGGTTTTTTTTTTCCTCTCAATACTTTAAATATTTCACTCCACTCTCTTCTTGCTTGTCTGGTTTCTGAGAAATTGAATGTCATTTTTATCCTTATTCTTCTAGAAGTGAAGTCTTTTTTCTTTTTACTCTGGCTTATTTCAGGGTTTAAAAAAATCTTTCATTTTCTGAGGTTCGAAAATGATTATGTGTAGGTATGGCTTTTGGGGCATTCATCCACTTGTTTTCTGGAACAGCTTCGTGGATTTGTGGTTTGGTGTCAGACTAACTCAGGGAATTTCTCAACTGTTATTTTTAAAAAATATTTCTTCTGTTCCTTTCTTTATTCTCTTTACGGTATTCCCATTACATGCATTTTATACCCTTTGTACTTGTCCCAGCCCTTAGATATTTTTTTTTCCCCTTCTAGTCTTTGTTCTCTTTTGTTTTTGGTTTTGGAGGTTTCTATTAAGATATCCTCAAACTCAGAGATTCTTTCCTCAGCTGTGTCCTCAGAAGCCCATTAAGGGCATTCTCTGCCTGTTACAGGGTTTCGATCACTATGATTTCCTCTGGGTTTTTAAAAAGAATTTCCATCTTTGCTTATGTTGCCCATCTGTTCTTGCCTGCACTCTACTTTATCCATGAGAGCACTTATCATATTAATTATAGTTATTTTAAATTGCTGCTCTGATAATTCCATAAATTCTGTCATATCTGAGTTTTGTTCTGATGTTTGCTATGTCTCTTTAAATTGTTTTTTTTTTGGGGGGGGGTACCTGAGTGAATCAGTGGTTGAGCGTCTAACTTTGGCTCAGGGTGTGATCCCAGAGTCCTGGGATCGAGTCCCTCATCAGGCTCCCTGCAGGGAGACTGCTTCTCCCTCTGCCTGTATCTCTGCTTTTCTCTGTATCTTTTTGTGAATAAATAAAATCTTTGAATTTTTTTTGCCTTTAATATGTCTTATGATTTTTTTCCTTGCTAGCCAGATGTGCTAGGTAAAAGGAACTGCTGTAAATAAGCTTTTAGTAATGTGGTGGTGGGATTATTTCTCACTTACCTACACTCAGCCTCAAGCAATTTGTCAATTATAGTTTAGTTTTCCCTATCTGGACACTGGTTTCTGTGTATGTTTCAGCTTGTGGGTTTCTGCTCTAGTAAGTTGTGATTCTCTGTATTCTCCAGTTGCATCTCTCCAATTGTGGCAGTGGTTTGCCCTGTGGCCTCACTTCTTTTATAGATCTAAGAAAAGTTGATTTTTTCAGTTTGTTCAGCTTTTTTATTTGTTAGAATGAAGAGGGGACTTCCAAGTTTCTTATGCAGCGGGACTGGAAATTAGAAATCTGTACTGAATCTCTAAATTTGAGAATTACTGCCGTGTCTACTGTGTTAGCATAAAATAGTCCTCCACTTATTTAGACTTTAATATCTTTCAATAGTTTGTAACTTTCTTCCTAAAGGTCTTATACATCTTGTATTATTATTTTTTTAAAGATTTTATTCACACGAGAGACACAGAGAGAAGGCAGACACAGGCAGAGGGAGAAGCAGGCTCCATGCAGGGAGCCCGATGTGGGACTCGATCCCAGGACCCGGGGATCACGCCCTGAGCCGAAGGCAGGCGCTCAACCACTGAGCCACCCAGGCATCCCTACATCTTGTATTATTAGCTCAGGCTACCATAATAAAATACCATAGATTGAGTGAGTTAACTAACAGAAATTTATTTTCTCAGTTTTGGAGGCAGAAAAGTCCAAGATCAGGGCGTCAGCATGGTTGAATTCTAGTGAGTTCTCTCTCTGGCCTGTAAATGGCTGCCTTTTTGCTGTGTTTTTACATGGCAAAGAGCATGGTGTTTTCTTAAAAGGGCACCGGTTTTGTTGGATCAGGGCTATATCCTTATAATCTCATTAAACCTCAATCACTCCCTTATAGGCCTTATTTCTAATACAGTTGCACTATTGTGGGGGAAGACTAGGGGCTCCACATATGAATTTTCATAAGGCACAATTCAGTCCATAGTACAATGCTTTCTTAGATTTAGATCTAAATACTAAATATTTTTGATATTTTTCTCATTATACTTTTTTTAAAAAGATTTTATTTCCTTATTTGAGAGACACACACACAGAGAGAGAGAGAGAGAGAGAGAGAGAGAGAGAGAGAGAGAGGCAGAGACACAAGCAGAGGGAGAAACAGGCTCCATGCAGGAAGCCTGACGTGGAACTCGATCCGGGGACTCCAGGATCACATCCTGGACTGAAGGCGGCGCTAAACTGCTGAGCCACCTGGGATGTACCTCTTATTATACTTTTAAGTGTTTTGTGGTAAATGAACATGTAATTTTTGTATGTTGATCTTGTAAAAATTTGCTTTTATACAAAAAACCAGCATATAGCAGATCTGAGAATGATATCAAATTTTAACTTTTCTGAAAAAATTATTTTTTTTGGAAAATTTCTTTATTTCAGATTTTTTGCCACATAGAATCACATAATTCTCAAAATCTAAGTTTACAAGTGATCATCACAAGATCCCTTATCCATATACACACTAATTAGAGGGAAAAAAAATTCTGTACAATATTTTAGTAGTTACATGATTTGTAAGCAATAGTGAATTAATGGCAATGGAAGAACCCCTAATGCCTTACACATATGATAACCATTCTCAAATACAAGAAACTAGGCAATAAAGAAAACTTTCTGTTCAGTTATAGAAAAATGTTTAAAGGCATTTTATGATGAGAGAAATGTTTCAAGTTAGTACACAACCTATTGGGCAACTAAAACTGCTATATAAGTTGGTACTTTTGCTCTTGAATATTTGTAGTATGGTATTACCCATTTATCTGACATTTAATAATGCATAAAGTTTCAAGTCTGGGTTCTCAAAACAGTTACTTGAAAATTTCGAATAATGTCTGGTGTACTCAGAGTGCTTTTTTCATTTATCATTTCTTCTTTCAGAAGTTTTTTTAATTTTTAAAAATTTAAATGATACATTTATTGGAACTGTACCTTTTCTACCACAATGAATTAAATAAACTTGTCAAAAGTATGGTTCTGTCACTTTCAGGGACACTTAATTTTGCTGTTCTTCCTTTCACATGCCCCTGTTAGCACATATATCCAAGTGACCACCTGCAACAGGTAGGTCTCATGTTATTAGTTACACAAATAAGGAAAGTTGTATATAACCATTCCTCCTGCCTAATCTGTTGAGTTAAAGCAACAGAGGCTCCCTAGCACCTAAATCTTTGCTTTGCTTTTCATATATATGTATATGAAAAGAAGATATAAATATACATATACATAAAATAGTAGACACTTGTTTCATTTATCTCTTCTTTTTAGTGGGACTGTGCAATGCTGGAACAATAATCTAGAATGTCCTGAATAGTGAATTCCATTGTAACACCAGAACCAGGGTAACAGCGAGCTATCAAACCTTCAAAGTGCTTGTATTGGCGTATAAATTCATCTTGCATAGAGTGCCACACCACCTATTACAAAAATGAAAACAAAGTCATTAAATTACCAATGGAAATATATAATCAAGTATGTAGAAATAATGTCAGGACATATTCTAAGAATTTAGCAGAGTGTCATGGTTAAGAACATGCATCTTTGCTCCTTCTACATACAAGATATGTGATCTTGAATATGTTACATCACTGCTCTGGGTCTCAAGTTCCTCCTCTGTAAACCAGGGTAGTAACAATAATGCCTTCCTCATAAGTTTCTTGTGAGGATTAAAGGAGTGCATGTATGTAAGGTGCTTAGAACATTTGACATAGTAAGCACTCATTACACTTTAGCTATTATTTTATCTATTACAATATCCAATACAGATGTGTATATGCACAACTATGCATGGAACTAAGACTAGCAATTAAATGAAATCCAACAGTTAATCCTTAAATTTCATTTCAGATGAAAGTTTAAAAATTTATCTCAAATTGATGATACAAAACATAGCTTGAAGCCATGAAGGAAATTAAGATGAAATAGATGGATTATATACAATCTAAGGATTTATGGTTTAGCAGTAGAAACTACTATGTAAATAACTATCAGGACAGAATCTGATATATACGTTGACATATTAGCTAATAGTAACAGGTAACATTTATTGATACTTATTTTTTATCAGCACAGTACAAAGTGCTTTATATATGCATTATCCTATTTAAGTCTCATGACTACCTGGTGAGGGTGGGTGCTATGGCCATCATCACTACCTGATAGATGAGGGAATGTATTCTTCTAGGATTTTTCCTTGTAAACGCTAAATCCCATAAATCCTAAATTCCTGTCACCTTAAGTCTACTTACTAAATAATATACTTTTTGTCTTACATCTTTAGCCTTTGGTATTTCTTCTACCTGCCACTCCTATTATCTGTAACTATCTGACTTTCACAAGCGAACACAAATGCAATAGCCCTCATAAAGGCTTTGATGATGTTGAAGCCAGAATTATTCTCACTCATCTCTGGGCCTTTCAGTATGGCTCAATTTGGGATTTAAATCTGACTCTACCATCCATTAACTATGGGTTCGTGGTCATGTTACTCCACTTCTCCAAGCTTTGATTTTCTCATCTATAAAATGGCAATGACAATAATAGTAGTATCCACTATATGAAAGAGGTATTTCCACTTTTCGAATACGAAAACTGAGGCTCAGAGAGGTTAAATGACTTGCCCAAAGTCATACAGCTTAACCTGGAGCCAAATTATGAACCTGTTTCTAACTCTGGTTCCCATGCTTAAATCATTCCACTGTACTATACTCTATTTCATTCAGTTACTCTCAACTGTAAAAAACAAACAAAAAGCCTTAAAAAAACCCTGCCTTACTCCCAAACAAAAGAAAAACTAATGCCTCAAAACAATAAAGCAGAAATATAAAATAAGCAGGAATAGCCATATATACTTATAAATATTATTCCTTTGTTCCTCACAACTCATTAATCTGGTCTGTACTTTATGGAAATTTCCTCCTGCACTACAATTAGAAAATCTGTAGCCTTTCTAGAGGACTCTTTTGGAGAAAAGAAATATACATAAAGATGTACACTCTAGGGTGGTTAACAGAACTAAGCATACCTGAAGTAAGTTTTCCTCTTCACATAAATGTTTATCAACCTTCTTGTAGAGGTTATCTAGACCTTTTTTCACTTCCTTTCCAGGATACTCTTTAATGACTTTACGAAGTTCTTGTTTGTTAAACGCAAGTTGATAGCTTACTTCCTCCTCTCTTATACCCTGTGCTACTCGAGCTTCAACGCCTTCAAAGAAGTGCTTCAAGGAAATGAAAAAAGAAAATGTGGTATACATATACAATGGAATATTATTCAGCCATAAAAAAGTAATCCTGCCATTTGCAACAATGTGGATGAAGCTAGAGAGTATTATGCTAAAGGAAGTAAGTCAGAGAAGCTTCCATATGTAGAACTTAAGAAACAAAACAAATGAACATGGCAGGGGGGAAAGAGAAGCAAACCATGAGAGACTCTTAACTACAGAGAACACACTGAGGGTGGCTGGAGGGGAGCTAGGTGGGGGATGGGGTAAATGGATGACATGTATTAAGGAGGGTTCTTGCTGTGATGTGCACTGTTGTATGTAAGTAATGAATTATTAAATTCTACACCTGAAACCAATATTATACTCTATGTCAACTGGAATTTAAATAAAAACTTGAAACTACAAAGAAGAAAAGAAACTAAAATAAATAGATAAAAATAAAACTAAATAAAAAGAAATACTGGTTAAGCCTTGCTTTTATTATCATTTAAATAAATTTTAAAAACCCTACTTAAAAGTAGTATTTATTCACAGTGTAAAACTCAGAAAATATATAAAAGTATAAAGGATAAAATAACAATCAGCTATTATTCCACTCAGAGATAATCAGTGTTAACATTTTAGATTTCCTTCTATGTCTTTTTTTTTTTAAACACTCTATTTTTTTAAAGTAGTCTCTACATACAAGTAGGGTTTGAACTCACAACCCCAAGATCAAGAGTTGAATGCTCTACCAACTGAAGCAGCCAGGTGCCCCTCCTTCTAGTCTTTTGATTTGAATACATAAATGAAATTAAAATATATCTTGTATTTTCCATGTAATATTTATGTTTTTTCCAAAGTATAAATTTTAATGGCTGCATAATATTTCATCTAATGGCTGAACTATAATTTTTTTTGAACTATAATTTATACATCCATTTCTTCATTATTGAATATTTAACATTTTTCACTTTTTTTCAGAGTTGGCAAAATCTACTCAGATTAAATTTATTGTAAACACAGTTGTCAAAAATATCTTTCATACATAACTATTTACCCACATTACTGATTACTTTTTAGCATGAATTTCTATAATTCCTCAGTTGAGAAGTATAATTTCAAGTATTCTGAAAGTTCTTCATATACATAAATTGCTTCTCAGGAAAGTTCAATCAATTTATATTTCTGTCAACAGTTCACGAGACTACTGTTTACCATATTATCATCAGCATTATTACAATTTAAAGAAATCACTGCAGCTTGATGAGTGAAAAAGATTTATTTGTTGTTTTATTTCACAATTCTTTGGCTATAAATGTAGTTAACCAGCTTTCATATATTTCATAGTATAGGAGTATACTCATATACTCATAGTATATTCAGAACCTTTATCCATTTATTGGGGTCTCAGTAGTTTTCGTATAGATTTTAACAAGGTATTCTATATTTTATATTCCTGACTACTAGATTGTTACAAATATTCCTCTCAGGTTGTCTTTAAAATGTATTTGTTTTTTAAATATGCAGTTTCATTGATTGGCATGCCTTTATTTGACCACTATACAGTATAATCTAATACTGAAGAGCTTACACTCTCTCATTACTTTTCTCTAAAATTTTCTTGACAATTACTGTTTGTTCTTCATTAAATTATCATCATTATGTTTTTGCTAATAATTGTTTTGACAAGTCTATTTCTGGTACTTTAAAATTTTGTTTCTACATACACTTTTAATTAGTTATTATGACATACAGGAAATAAATTGGTTCTTTATATATTTATTTTGAATCCTGCTACTGTATCATAGGTCAGTAATTTCAACCTATCATATACAGGTAATTTTAATCTTGACTCTCCTTTCATTTTTTTAGAGAGAGAGGAGACAGAGAACAGGCCTGTGTGTGTGAGCAGGGAGGGGAGGGGGAGAGGGAAAGAGAGAGAGAATCTTTTTTTTTTTTTTGAGAGAGAGAATCTTAAGTAGGCTCTACTTGCAGCACGGAGCCTGATATAGGGGCGTGATCTCATAACCTTGAGAAGATCTGAGCTAAAGTCAAGAGTCAGATGCCTACCTAACTGAGCCATCCAGGTGTCCCATTGATTCTCCTTTATATATCTTTTATTTATGTTTCAGGTCTTACTGCATTGACTAGAGCTTCCATAACAATGTTAAATATTAAAAGGATCCAGCAATGTTTCTGCTTTAAATTTGGTTTTGCAGGGAATGCCTCTGATGTTGCAGTTAAATATCATGCAAGATTTAGATTCCTTTTACCCTAAAAGAATATCTAAATTCTTAAGCTTTAGAAGGAATTGGTTCTGTATTTGATTAAATATCTTTTAAGTGTTTGTTGCTGACAACAGATATATATATGCATTTTAAAGATTTCATTCATTCATTTATAGAGCATGCAAGGGGGGAGGGGCAGAGGGAGAGAATACTCAAGCACACTTCTGCTGAGTGCAGAGCCTGATGTGGAGCTTGGTCTCACAATCCCTGAGCTTGGTTTCAACCTGAGCTGAAACCAAGAGTCAGAGGCTGAACTGACTGAGCCAGTAAGGTGCCCCCAAAACATCCATAATTTCAACAATCAAATATGCTCTGAGGAATGACTCAGTTCAAGAAAGGAAGGGAAAGAAAAAGGCAATGAAAAAAACAATTTTTGGTTTTCCTTTTCTCTTGATTAAGTTTTTGAAATCTTCATCTGAGCTAAGGTTAAAGATCAGTCATTTGTGAGGCATGAAATACGAGCATCTGGTATAACGCCTAATCTAGGTTCATCCCCCAGTTTTCCTACTTGCCCATTATTATAACTTCAAGCAAGTTTACTTTCAGTTTCTTCATACGTAAAATGGGTTGATACTACATTATCATATGTCATTGTTTACAAGAATTAAAAGAAATAACGTATAAAGCATCTAGCAGCATCTTAGTACACTGGAACCTTTGATACCTGGGTCTCTTCTTCCTTATCCTTCACATCAATACATGACCAAATTTAGGATGAATGTCTAATTGTGTTTTTATATGTAAGTATATGTATAGAGGTTCAAAATCAGGAATATAATACTGAATGAAAATATACTTACATTTAGTTTTTCAAGAGGTTGTCCTAAAGAGTAAATGACGTAAGACTGAAGGTGATCTGTGTATTTTTGTTTGGCTTCTTTTTTTTCAGCTTCTAGACATGAGATTTTCAAACGAGAAAGTGTTGCAAAAATATGGTGAAAATTTTCCATCATAACTACATCCCTGGGGGTCTTCTGGCTTTCATTTGCTACTTTCTCCACTGAAATCAAAAAAGAAAAAAAAATATCCTGACATGAATATTAGCTATAAAAATATTTACATGCTTTTTTCATTTGTAAGTTTAAGAAGGAACACATTTGTGGACCTAATAAAACATATGGAAGGGTCTTCATATGTACCTAGCCCTAATAAAAAAATCACTCTGAAATAGTCATACATATATAAATGGAAGTGTTATATATAATAAAGGTGGCTTTTCAAATCAGTGGAGAAATGATGAATTACTCAAAATGTGTAAGGACAACTAGCTGGACTTTTTGAATACACTAATAAATGTGGATTCCTATTTCTCATTTTCAGCCAAACAAATTCTAAATTGCTCAAGTAATTACATATGAAATAAGCAAATAAATATAATCATAAGTATTAAGGCAAATAAAGCTAATTAAAAAATGATTTTGTGATAGCATGACATTTTTACAAACAGTCTAAAACTTAGAAATCATAAAAGGAAAGCTGGATAAATCTGACATGAAAATTTAAAGCTCCTGCATGATTAAAAAAAAAAAAACCAACAAAATCAATTTTAGTCTATTAGGCTGACAAAGAATAAAAACTGATAATACTGATATTCAGAATTAATGAGATGTAATGAAAACTTTCACCAACTGCTAGAATACTAAACTGGTATAAGCTCTCTGTGAGGCAGTTTGGCAAATGCCTTGAGATATATGCAAACCTTCTGACCTGGTAATTCCATTTCTAGTAATTTACTCCAAGGAAATTACTCGACAAGAATCAAAAAATATATGCAAAAAACTGAAACAAACTAAATGCCTATTAATAGATTTGATAAATGATATATGAAATACTATGTAATCATTAAAAATGATTATAGCTACGATATAAATTGACAAGGAAAGGCATTAGAATTATAGAGTAGCAGATTCCAAAACAGAGTGCAAGGTATGATAAAAACTTTTGTATTCAACACACACACATACACACAATAAGCACATATACACGAAGAAGAAATACTGAAAAGTTTAGAATGGCAAAAATTAAATGTTATCTCTGCCTGATGAAATTACAAATTATCTTTATTTTCTTCTTCATTTTTAAAATCTGTTTTTTGATTTCGGGGGGTATATAATGAGCATATATTACTTTACAGTCAGATGAAGCAAATCTACTTTGAAATAAATTTTTCTTTTCTTTTTTTTTAAGTAGGCTCCATACCCAGCATGGAGCCCAGTGCAGGGTTTGAACTCATGCCCCTAAAATACAGACCTGAGCTGAGATTGAGAGTGATGCTTAACCAACTGAGCCACCCACATGCCCCAAAGCTACTTTGAATTTTATTTTTTTATTTTATTTATTTTTTTTATATTTTTATTTATTTATGATAGTCACACACACAGAGAGAGAGAGAGAGGCAGAGACATAGGCAGAGGGAGAAGCAGGCTCCATGCACCGGGAGCCCGACGTGGGATTCGATCCCGGGTCTCCAGGATCGTGCCCTGGGCCAAAGGCAGGCACCAAACCGCTGCACCACCCAGGGATCCCGCTACTTTGAATTTTAAAAGAAATATCAACCATACAGTCAATCATGTAATTTATCTATTTTTCCTCTAGATTTCCATTTCCATTGAAAATGTTATATGTAATTGGTAAGATGATTCCAATTTCTGTCAATTATTTTAGCTTTTAAAATTCATGAATATATGCAATCAGATCATTTATTTCAAACTAAGTGGCACATCATACTCTTTCTGTAACTTACTTGTGGGATCTGACACAGAAGAGAGTATTTTAGCATTAACTTATCTTATGTGTGAAAATCTCATGTCTAGAATCTTTCATATCTCAGATATGAGGCCTAAAGAAGCAAACTGATTTGCTTAAGGTTACATACACATCACTGTCTATCATCACCAGAAGACTCTTGATAAAATGCAAATGTAAAATCTCATTCTTTTAAGTTTAAAAATTTTTTATTCAGGGATCCCTGGGTGGCTCAGCGGTTTTGCGCCTGCCTTTCACCCAGGGCGCGATCCTGGAATCCCGGGATCGAGTCCCGTGTCGGGCTCCCGGCATGGAGCCTGCTTCTCCCTCTGCCTGTGTCTCTGCCTCTCTCTCTCTCTCTTTCTATCATAAATAAATAAATAAATAAATCTTAAAATTTTTTTTTATTTGATAAACTCAAACCAATATATATTCTTTAATAGGAAAGTTGAACTTTTTTCATGTGTTTTCTTTCTTTTCTATTATTTTATTCATTGTCATTATTTGATTATATAGGACTTCCTTATATCTTAACCAATTACCTGAGATATATTAAATGTGTAATAAGTATTTCATTTTGTCAAAAAATTGAAAAAAAAATTTTAAAAAGGTAAATTTTTGTGATTAAAAAAGGAATTCCAATTTTGCATAGTGATAATCCCAAATGAACCTTAAGACAGAAGTGGTTCCTAATGAATATGAATAGGTTTTATGTACTGCTTATTTTTCAGGTTCAAGAAATATCTACTTTCAGAAAACTTAAAAAAGATGACAGAATATGGAAAATAAACATATCTATAAAATAATACACATATCCTCCAACTTGAGTTACCATAAATACTGAAAACAATGAAAAAATTCTTTAGAACATAACAAAAGCTTACCATTAACAAATACTCCTCTGATAAGTTTAGTATATGCTTTATCTAGATCTCCACGACGTTCAGCATTTTTAAAGATCGATTCTGCGAGTCCAGCAAATTCTTCAAATTCAGCAACAAATGGAAGAATTCCTACTTTACTCTTCTTTGAGATTTTTACTTCTTCCATTTGCCTTATTTGGTTACTCTACAGTTACGCAGAAAGCAAGGGAGAGAAATAGCCAAGCAACTTATAAATAAAGATCATAGAGGCAGGACATAATTTAGTACCTCAAACATTTTGGATGTTTACTAATTACAGATTAATACAATAGGGATAACTAAGAAACACTATTTTTATATATTAAAAAGTACATATATATTTTTTTGTTGTTAGGGAAGGAACGACAGAGAGAGAAAGAGAAAGAGGGTGAGGGGCAGAGAGAGAGAGAGAATCTTAAGCATGTGGCCCAATGTGGGGCTTGAACTCACAACCCTGAGATCATGACTTGAGCTGAAATCAAAAGAGTCAGAAGCTTTAACCAACTTGCAAGTGCTTCAAAAGTACATATATTTTAAGAAAATAAAGTCGAGGAAAAAAGCTAAATTATTTAAAACAAGCTACAATCAAGTTTTTGTTCAAAGTGAAAACAAGCTATAGTTCTATCATTCATGAAAGAGAAGTATAAGGCGATTGTTCATTTTAAGGCAGAATAGATACCAGAGCATGCACAGGATTTCTCTAGGTTATTTCTAATTGGTTGCCATGTGGCCAAGTTTGGAATCACAGTCATTTCTAATTTTCATTAGCCTAAAATCTGTGCTTGGAAAGACCAGTTCTTCAATTTCTGGATATAAAAACAGAGAGGGAGAACAGGCATTTCTACAATGGGTATACACTATATAGTTTGCCATGTATCTATTAGTTACATTTTCTACTTACTCTACTTATTTCAGCACAGTGCTTGTGGATGATGGTGACAAAATACAAAAGGGATGTCTCATATAGACAAAACCTAGATATTTGGGTCCAAAAAGATTCATGAATTCAATTATGGTTCTGTGTACTTCTCAGAGAACCTAGGTTAGAATTACACTGCCAAATACTACTAAACATTTTTTTTAAATTTTTATTTATTTATGATAGTCACACACACAGAGAGAGAGAGAGAGGCAGAGACACAGGCAGAGGGAGAAGCAGGCTCCATGCACCGGGAGCCTGACGTGGGACTCGATCCCGGGTCTCCAGGATTGCGCCCTGGGCCAAAGGCAGGCGCCAAATCGCTGCGCCACCCAGGGATCCCACTACTAAACATTTTTACTTCTATCTAGAATTTCATAAATGATTTTGAGGATGTAACTTGAAAATCATGACATGTGGCTTAAAAAAAGTAGTTATTTGTAGGCTACAGGCATTTGTATAGCAAGTCCCATGGAGTACTGTCAACCATTTGATACTATCTTAACTATTACAGCACACCCGTTATTGCAATTCACTTTATTACAGTTCACAGATACTGCATTAAAAGAATTAAAAAAAAGTCTTATAAATTGAAGGTCTGTGGCCATCCTGCACTGGCAAGTCCATGTGACACTGTGGTAACTGTTTGGCAATATATAAAAAACTTTTCCATTATTATTTGTTATGGTGATCTGTGACCAGTGATTTGTTTGGGGTGCCACAAACTGTGCCCATATAAGATGGCAAACTTAATCAATAAATGTGTGTATTCAGACAGGTCCATCAATCAGCCATTCCCCCAGCTCTCTCCCTTTGCTTAGGTCCAGAAACAATTTTATTCCCTGAAATACAGTATTGGCATGAGGCCAATTAATAGCCCTACAATGGCCTCTAAGTGCTCAAGTGAAAGGAAGGGTCTCATGCCTCTCACTTTAAATCAATAGCTAAAAAATGATTAAGCTTAGTGAGGAAGGCGTATGAAAAGCTGGCAGGCCAAAAGCTAGGCCTCTTGTGCCAAACAGTCAAGTTGTGAATGCACAAGAAACTTTTTTTTTAATTTTTATTTATTTATGATAGTTACACAGAGAGAGAGAGAGAGAGGCAGAGAGAGAAGCAGGCTCCATGCACCAGGAGCCCGATGTGGGATTCGATCCTGGGTCTCCAGGATCGCGCCCTGGGCCAAAGGCAGGCACCAAACCGCTGCGCCACCCAGGGATCCCTACAAGAAACTTTTTAAAGGAAATTAAAAGTGCTCCTCCAGTGAACACGCAAATGATAAGAAAGCAAAACAGTCTTCTTGCTCATATGGAGAAAGTTTTGAGGTCAGGATAGAAGACCAAACCAGCCCATACTATTCCCTTAAGCCAAAAAGCCCAATCCAGAGCAAGGCCCTCTTTTCCATGAAGGCTGAGAGAAGGGAAGGGAGGTGCAGAGGAAAAGTCTGACGCTAACAAAGGTTGGTTCATGGGGTTTAAGAAGCCATCTCCATAACATAAAGTGCAAGGTGAAGGAGCAAGTGCTGATGGTGAAGCTGCAGCAAGCTACTCAGAAGATCTAGCTAAGATAATTAATCAAGATGACTACACTAAGCAACAGATTTTCAATATAGACAAAACAGCCATATTTTGGGGGAAGATGCCATCTAGGATTTTCAAAGCTAGAGATGTCAATGCCTGGCTTCAAAGCTTCAGGGGAAACACTGACTCATTTGTTATGGGCTAATGTAACTGGTGACTTTAAGTTGAAGCCAATGCTCATTAACTATTCCCCAAATCCTAGGGCCCTTAAGAATTATGCTAAATTTACTCTGCTTGTGCTCTTTAAATAGAACGACAAAATCTGGATGGCAGCTCAGCTGTTGATAACATGACTTATTGACTGTTTCAAGCCCACTGGTGAGACCTACTATTCAGAAAAAAAGATTTAAAAATATTACTGCTCATTGACAATGTACCTGGCTACCCAAGAGCTCTGATGGGGATGGACAATGAGATTTAATGTTGTTTACGTGTTTGCTAACACAACATCCATTCTGCAGCCCATGGATCAAGGAGTCTTTTCAACTTTCAAGTTTTATTATTTAAGAAAAATATTTTGTAAGGCTAAGCTGCCATAAGTAGTGATTCCTCTGATGGATCTGGGCAAAATAAAGTAAAAACCATCTGGAAAGCATTTCATGATTCTAGATGCCATTAAGAACATTTGTGTTTCATGAGAAGAGGTCAAAGTATCAACATGAACAGGTTTCTAAGCCTCATGGAGGACTTTGAGGGGTTCAAGACTTCAGTAGAGGTAGTAACTGCAGATGTAGTGGAACTAGAATTAGGAGGGGAGCCTGAACATGAGACTGGAATTGCTGCAACCTCATGATATAACTTTAATAGATGAGGAGTTGCTTCTTATGGATGAGTCAGGAAAGTAGTTTCCTTTTTTTTAAAAAAATTAATTAATTAATTAATTTATTTATTTATTTATGAGAGAGGCAGAGACATAGGCAGAGGGAAAAGTAGGCTCCCTGCGGGGAGCCTGATGCAGGACTCAATTCCAGGACTCCAGGATCATGACCTGAGCTCAACCACTAAGCCACCCATATGCTCAAAAAAGTGGTTTCTTGAGAGGGAACCTATTCTTGGTGAAGAGGCTGTGAAGACTGTTGAAATGACAACAAGAGATTTAGAATATTACATAAATTTAGTTGACAAAGCAGTGGCAGGGTGTGAGAGGATTATCCCCAATTCTGAGAGAAGTTCTGCTGTGGGCAAAATGTTATCAAATATCTTTGCATGCTACAGAGAAACTGTTTCTGAAAAGAAGAGTTGATTTATGGGGAAAACTTCATTATTGTCTTATTTTAAGAAATTGCCACAGCCAACCCAACCTTCAGCAACCACCTCCCCGATCAGCCAGCAGCCATTAACATGGAGTGAAGACCTTCCATCGGCAACAAGATTATGACCCACTAAAGCTCAAATGATGCTTAGCATTTCTTGGCAATAAAGTATTTCTAAATTCAGTTATGTACATTGTTTTTTAGACATAATGCTACTGAACACCAATAGACTACAGTATAATATAAACATAACTTTTATATGTACTGAGAGACCAAAAAATTCATCTGAATTAACTTCATTTCAATAACTCCTTGCTTTATTGTGATCCTTGCTTTATTGCGGTAGTGTGGACCAAGTGAACCTGAAGAATACTATGAGGTGTTCCACTGCATCAGTATTGGTAATTGTGAGAAGTAAAAATGGATGCAGTAATAGAGGGTAGTGTAAGACTGTAGGTGCTGGAAACAGACTGGGTATGAATACTAATTCCATCACTCTTTACTGTTGACCTGGGAAAAATAACACAACCCCTCAGAATCTATCTTATGTAGGGGAGAGGAAGTTGTGAAGATCAGATGAAGTTAATATGTGCAAGGTGCTTAGAACAGTGCCTGGTATACAGTAAGCACTAATTTATGAATGCTGGTCTATGGCTGTTATTAAGCTACATGAGGATTTTTCTTCAGTGCGCCATTTAAATGCACAGGATATAATTATAGCCCGAATATACTTAAACATTAACAGGAAATATCCTAAATGAAAAAAAAATCCTAAATGATGCTTGGTTGTAATTGGTAGAAGAAAAAAACAATGCATTTATTTAAGAAATGAGCCATGAGTGTGCTTGGGTGGCTCAAGTCAGTTAGCCATTTGCTTCTTGGTTTTGGCTCAGGTCATGATCTCGGGCTTATAAGACTGAGTCCTGTGTTGGGCTCTGTGCTAGGCTTAGAGCCTGCTTAACATTCTCTCCCTCTCTCTCTCTCCCTCTGCCCCTTCCTCTCAACTCACACACGTGTGTGTATGCTCTTTCTCTCAAAAGAAAAGCCATCAATGAACTAAATCTTATAAAAGCAAAATTTCTCTCAAGCTCAATGTATGCATTATTTGCAGCAGATTACTCGACATAGAGGTTATTCAGTGATTAAGACTACAAGTTGGATGCAAGGCACACATCACTATATTACTTATCCATCCCTTATCCATGGCAATTTAACCAAATCATGTCATTCTCAAAGGTTTAAGAGCACAAATCCATATCACTATAGTGTGAAGAATTTTGGAAAGTAAATTAAATGCAGATCAGAATGTATGGGCCCAACTTGGTAGTACTTGATTTCTTAATTTTTTTTTTTTTAAGATTTATTTATTTGACAGAGAAAGAGCACAAGCAGGGGGAGCAGTAGGGAGAGGGAGAGGGAGAAGCAGGCTCCCTGCTGAGCAAGGAGCGCCATGTGCGGCTCCATCCCAGGACTCTGGGATCAGGACAGGAGCTGAAGGCAGACTCAACGGACTGAGCCACCCAGGCACCCCTGTCACTTTCTAACTAGCTCTAGCACAATTTAGGCTAGCTTCCTTAGTCTTGTTGTGTTCTTTGAAGAACAGCAGATACTCTGAGCTTGGCCACTAGGTGAAAGAACCAAACTCAGGTGCTATCTGTTCCATTTGCTACAGCCATCTGACATTCATGCTTTTGTCAATACAAACAAGCCCATTCACTACGTTTTCAAGGCATGCCTTAGATCCTAGTCTTGTCCCAAATACCAAAATGTACTGAGTACACACTATCACCAGAAGCTGTGAGAAGACAGGAGTTAAAACAGGACACAGAGAGATGTCCCTTTAGTGACAAAAGAAAAATCCTTTAGATTTTATGAGAAAATACTGAGTTTATACCTTTGTCTAAGTTAATTTTACTTTGTTTTTCCACTGTTCTGTCTTGAATAACATGAACATTCCTTAATAAACTATTATTACTTGCCACCACGGCGGCAGCAGCACTACCATTATGAGCTATCACTAAGGCCTTACTTCTATGCAAGGCAGTGTGTGCTAATAAGCACTTTATTTGAACCCACATCTACCTCTACCTGATACTACATCCTATACTTTTAACAATTATGTTGTGTTGGATTGACAGGTATTATATAAAGTTATATTTTACTAATAAAAGCAACAAAGCCTTCATAGTCTGGAAATGTACAGTGTCTCATGATTTAGTGTTCCTACTGGGTCACATGGGACTCATTATCTCAGCCTTTGGCCGCTCTTCATTCTCCCTTTGGTTCTCAGCTTGCAGTCAGATCCTCTAGGTTTAGTATCACCACAGGAGAAGGTGGGAGAGGGAAGAGGATAAGGGTCAAATTTCATAGTATTTCAAATACCAAGAGAAATCATGTGGTAAGGAGAGGACTAACAAGTCTATTGAGGTGACATTTAGGTTTCTACAGGTAACGTAGGTTGCCTTTATACTTTAAAAACTCAATAAATATTTTCCAAAAGTATAAAAATGATGTGGATTTTAACTGCCCTTAATATTTTTATCTCCTATTATTTTGTGGATATTCAAGACCTGGATATAACTTAGAAGTTACATAGTAGAAATATTCATTCAGATGATAGACATCCACTTTTACACACTAACTAGAAGCTTTGATTTTAGAACCTGGCCCAGCCCAAATCATATCTACAAGCTTACTAAAACCTAGTGAACAAAAATAAAGTTGTTAATGATTTTTCTTTCCTATTAGAAGGAAGAACATAATGATTGCTGGAAGTTATTATAAGAAAAATATACTCTCTATTTTTTTTTAAAGAATTAAAAAAAAAAAGATTTATTTGGGAGGGTGAAGGAGGGCACTGAGCCCAGAGCTCAAAGTAGGGCTCCATCTCAGGACCCTGAGATCACAAACTGAGTGGAAACCAAGAGTCAGATGCTTAACCAACTGCACCACCCAGGTGTCCTAAAGAACAATGGATGCTTAAAATAAAGCAATATAATTATTAATTAAAGCTATTAAGTGAGTAAACTAAAACAACTAATTAAGTCAATAATTTAAAGAATTAAAAAATCCAATTATTAATTTTCCTATTAGAACATATTTAAAAAAGAACAACAATAAATCCAAATGATAGTTTCAATTGTTTTATGTGATCTATGGTCACTAATCAGTTAACTGAGATTTCAGTCACCTAGTAGACCTCTCAAGCAGCTGCAACCTCAGTGCCACTTACTCCAGAACTTGCCAAGATTCATACACAGTATAGAAGGGGAAATGGCTGGCACTGTAGCACCCAACTAACTCTGTTCACATAAATTGCAGCCAACACTCTGCTTCAGGACTTTGAGGGATGGAAATGGTAGATCCTCCAATGAAAAACTGGAAATCTCTTGATTTAAATATATTTACCTATTTCTTGCAATGATTAGAATTCTAAGTGATTTAAAAAAAATCAAACTTACAATGCATTTGTCAAAGTTCCTTTTGACAGTCACCAAAACATTTCCTAATGTCGTACTCAGAAAAGAAGCAGGGTCTACATTTTGTGCGGTCCACACATGATGACTCATCTTGACAAGCATGTAAAGGGAGTTAAAACTATCAATTTTATCTCCTAATGCAATTAGGTTGTTCAGTTCTGGCTCAATGCAGCGAAATATTTTAATCATCATTTGACGGATCATATCTTTCCTGTTCAGAAAACACACAAAGTATAGGAATTTATTACAGGTTTCTGTAACTTTAATCTTTATTTTTAACTTTAATCCACAGTATATACACAAAATAACTAAAATTTTATATCTTAATTAAAAATGTCCATTCATGATGAACAATTTCATCATACAGCAGTTTCCAACATAAAAATATTTTTTGAAGTTTTATTACTCAAAATATAACTTTATATCATGTGTAAAGCTGGATCCTGAAATGTGCTAATTTCTGAGAAATATCCTGCAATTCAAATGCTACTTCTTACCAGCAAACATTAAAACTGATTGCATTTTTGTGTGTGTGTGTGTGATCACTACAGCAAAAAAGAGCTAAAGGGTCAGACAACAGGACGAATTTCAACTCAGACCTTTAAGGCACTGGGCAGACATGTCAGTGTTCTGAGTGTTGTAAAAACCAGAATCATCTGGCTCCTCAGTGAACAGTACTCCTTCTTCCCTTCAAAATAAACAACGGATAGTAACAAATACATACTCAGATGAAACAGGCAGTGGCACACCAGCATTATGTTGCCGGGAAAATGGTCCTCCATCGAGGTCCTCTGCTTCAGTCTGCAAAAATTATTCAGGCACTTTACATAATAAAAGACCAACAATTTGACTAGTTTATATAGCAAAAGCCTGCTCAGTCTTAAAATTCCTAGGAGAGAATAGATTATGAAAAATAATGACTTTTAAAGGTAGTATTACTACTGATAAAACTATATAATTTAGTATGTTAAGAATGTTTATAAAATGTTTTGTTCTTAGATTTTATCTGAGAATTATTGTGGGCTAAGAAGATAGGCTTGTATGTCCCATGAAGGGAAAGTGTGGACAGAGAAATTACAGAAGGCTCTGAGGGGCTGTGGGAATGGGGGGAAGGTAGCTCAAAAAAACCCAGAAACAACTTTTAAGAGAGAATTTTAAAAATTAAAGAAATCTCATTAATCATTCAAATAAAACTCTGGCATTAAAAAAATGCTATTAAAAACCCTTAGGGGGCACCTGGGTGGCTCAATTGGTTAAGCCTCTACCTTTGCCTGAGGTCATGATCCCGGGGTCCTGGGATGGAGCCCCACAAGGCAAGGGGCTCCCTGCTCAGTGGGGAGCCTGTATCTCCCTCTCCCTCTGCCTGTGCTCCCCCTGCTTGTGCTCTCTGTTAAATAAATAAATAAAGTCTTAAAAAAAATTCTTAGGCTAACAAGCCAACTTACTACCACCATCATCTATAACAGCAAATTCATTTTACGATTGCTTTTTATATGTTGACTCTGTTTAAGATGACCTTATATTTTTTTCAAGTAAACTTTACACTCAACATGGGGCTCAAACTCATAGACCCGAGATCAAGAGACATAATGCTCTATCAACTGAGCCAGCCAGGCATCCCAAGATGACTTTAATTTAAAAAATCACTTTATTTGCATTGTGCTTTTAAGTTTTTCAAAATATTGCAGCAGTCTCTCATTTCTTACATTTGTGCCACCTGAGAGGCACGCTGAATAGGGATTATTATATTCATTGTACAGATAAAACTAGGGATTAAATAATTGGTTTAAAGTCTCATAGCTAGTTAGTAACAAAGACATAGGAAAGATTCAGATTTGGGGCTTGTTTCTTTCTTCTTTTTTTTTTTTTTTTTTGCTAGACCATGGTATATACACTGAAATATCTTTTTTTTTGGCAATTATATTTTTTCTTTATGCTAAAATTGCTTTTTGAATAATATTTATTACAAAGTAAATTCAGACATTTTCCCCTCACTAATTTAGAGGACAGTCTAGAGTATCAAATCTGATGCTCAAACTCTAACTATCACTATTTTTTTTACCTTCTGGTATGATAAAAACTACTGAAAAAATCCTTACACTGTGAATTTTTTCTTTTTTCTCTTCTGATATTGAAATTGTGACAATAAATTAATTAGGCTAATTATACTACAGATCATAAATATAGCCAATAAATAAATGTGAGCCATACCATAGTTCCAGGCATACTTTGATGTTGCTGTAGTTTGAAAAATTTACTTATGAAGTCCTGTTCTGCCAGACACAAGGGCTCTAGTTCACTTAGTACCTGTTCAAAGATCTGAAGAAAACAAAAATGAACTGCATCAAATGCTTAAAAAACTGCCACATTTAATTCACTTTTCTGTAGGGACCATAGATGCTTTATCTATAATCTCAATAGAATCCCAAAAGCATCTACTCCAAGATTGATAGGATGATGCAGAAGTATCAAGGCTTAACAGGGTCAGGCATACCTAAAATAAAACTTACAATAATGATTCACTTGAAATCTGCAAAGAGGAACACAGAGATAAACTTTTTAAACTTAATGCATTGCAGAGAACAGTTTAGCTTCATAAAAACTGTTATTTCCTCTTTACTTTGTAGTTGGCTCAAAGAACTTAGAGATGCAAGCACTTAATTATTTTTTCATGTAATGATTTATAATAAATTCTAATAAAGCTGTTATATCAATGAATTGATAACACACAATTCAGTTGCCATCTGACTAGTATATTTTTCAGATTCAGAATTCTAAAGTAAGATATGGTTAATTCATAGAGTCAACAAAGCCCAAATCCTCAAACATACTTAAAGCAATAACTGCTGTTAGAAAACGAATGTTAATATTTAAGACATATTTGTTCCTTTATTTTACCTTATCAAATTTGGTCCTGTCGGCAACATCGAGATCAGAGGCAGACATGTTTCCCATATCCAACAAAGAAGATGACTGAGATCTGCGATTCCCTGAACTCTGAACGCTGAGTTTATTTAGACTAGAAGTAGATCCAGTTAATTTCCCAGAACTTCCATGAAGACCTAAGAAATAATAGAACTTTGAAAGTTGTGACCTTCATGGACAAAAGACCCATAGCGTAAATGAGGGCTGTCTTCTACTGTCTTCGTCTTCAGTGCTATCAGTCATTGCACAAGTCTACTGCATGGGGTGGGGGTGGGGGGGCTGTAGAGTGTCCTGCTCTCTCATCAGCATTTGTGCCCTATTCTTCAGCATACTGTAAAGAATAGTGAAAACTACACAGATCTACAGAATAGGACTAAAGGGGTCTCATAATCTATACCTGGCCCAGTACCATCAAAGTCACCTGATATTTCAGACTAAAGTAGATGGAAGATTTCCTTCCTACTCAAAAGACATAAATACAGATGAAGGCCAATGACTCCTTAGTGTACTAGCTAATGTGACTTTTAAAATTTTTTAATGACTTTTTTTAATTTCTGAAGAAAAAAGCCATATTCCAATATTACTTGCCTCCACATTAAGTGAAAATATTGGGTTGAACCATACAAAACTACTAGTACTCGATCATTCTTGCCCTACAAAAAGTCAATTACTATGATTCAACTTAACACATTCCGGAACCCCAAACTCCACTTTGTTACTGCTCTGTTCAGTAAACGAACTGATTAACTACAGTTCTTTAAAAACTAAACAAAATGAAGAGAAAAACACCCTTAAAACTTGTTATATTCAAAATAAAACTAAAATATGATAAATACATCATGAATTATATGAGACATCGTTGAGGAAAAATGGAAGAATGTGGCTGATATTCTACATACATCAAGGAATTAAAGGCTTCCATTTTTACAAGAGAATGCAATATTTTTATTCAGAATTAAATATAAACAATTCTTTTAATCTTTTAAGATATTTCTCAGTTAATCTATATTATTTGTTGATGGTCAGAAGAGACATGAAGATCTAATAAGGTCAATTAAAGATAAACTTTGATTTCATTATACAAAATCTGACCATAGCTATAAGAATTCTTACAGTTTCTTTTTTTTTCAAAGAATTTTTTATAGTATCTAAACACAGCCTGAAAACAGAAGTTTAACAGTTAAGCCTTTTCATAAATTTCTGACTACCTACCATTTATTTCTAATTACATTTCTTGAATATAGCCATACCACTACCATCATGTTGGTTTTCTTTCATTGAACCTGTCAATCAATATTTTTGGTGTAACTTTTTTCAAGACAAAAAACTAATTTCTAGACATTAAACAAACATGCATTGAGAATACCTACTAATACACTAAGCATACTCACTCTCTGTTTCCTGTTTGACAGCACTTTCTTTTCGAGGCAGTGTAGCTGTGATGGATTAGGTTGCAAGCATCAAAGACAAAGACAAGTTAATAAACTGCAATTTGCACAAACCATGCACAAGAGGAAGTTAAAGCTCTAGTTTAAAAGACACATGCAAAGAACCATGAGCATCAAGTAACAAGAGGTGCAACATATGTTTAGTTGGTCTGCTACTGTTTGACAAATTCTGAGAGAAAAAACTTTACTAGTCTACTAAAAAATTCAGGTAAAAATATTTATATCTGTCAGCCCTTTTCCCAATATTTTTAAATGATTTTTTTTAAGTTTATGAAGCTAGTGTACCTAAAATTTAAAAGACTACATTTTTAAGTCTTGTTTTCTGGAAAAAAAAATCAAAACAGTTCAAGTAAAAGTGTTTTTAAAATTTTTAAAAAGTCATTTTATTTTATTTTATTTCAGTCATAATAGGTGTACAAGAGTACACCCCTATTTCACCCACCTCCTCACCTCTCCACTGGGAACCATCAATTTGTTCTCTATAGTTAAGAGTCTGTTTCTTGATTTGTCTCTCTTTTTTTTTCCTTTGCTCATTTGTTTCCTAAATTTCACATATGAGTGAGATTATATGGTCAAGTAAAAGCTTAATAAAGTGAAAATTTATTAGAACGAAGTTGTAGACTTAGACATTAAGTACATCAACAATCTCACGTCCTGAGAACTCCTGAGAGGAGTCTCCATTGTACTGAACAATATTATATTACATCTGATAAAAAAGGAGTGGGACTTTATAATCATTTCAAAATATCAAGCAGAACTACTTAGTAACTGGCTTTATGAACATTTACAATGCAAAGTATATAACAAAATACTAATTATCAGGAGATGGGTAGATGGAAGGGTAAGGCCAAAGGAACAGGCCTAATATAGGAATCTGAGCAATTTTAGGGTCATTTGGTATTTTTTTATTCTAAAACTTCTCTCTATAATATTTATTAGATCTATTGTAGAGATCATCTTATGAAACATTCTAAACTCAAATTAGAAGTTAATGTGAAAGCCAAAGAAATTATAGAATGAAAGAGAAAATTAAAGAATATAACTATAACCTGGAAATATTTTAAAAATAGAGAACGTGTCAACTGTCAAAATCCCTGCCAAACTTCAAGGAATAGCCCAAGTAAAAGCTGCTAACTTGTCATACCACGGATATGTATATTTTTGCAGCCCTAGTTATATTAAGCTCAAGAGAGCCTGAAACGCCAAGGCTAGACATTAAAGTGGTAAGAAGGCATTGCACTAGAGCTACTAGCTGGTCAATTTGAATAGTACCTCCTGGTGGCCTTACGGGGTCACTAGACTAAGTTCACCAGTTTCAGAGCCTGACACTTTATACACTTTTTTTTTTTGGTATCTAATAAAGAATACAGTTACTAAAGTCGTGCCAATTAATTATAATTTGGGGCTCAGCAAAGCTATATTATTTATCAGCAACAATATTCAGCTTATCTTTTTTTTTTTTTTTTAAGTAGGCTCCATGCTGGGTGTGGAGCCCAATGCCTGAACTCACGACCTTGAGATCAAGACCTGAGCGGATATCAAGAGCAGGATTCCCAACCTATTGAGCCACCCAGGTGCCTCTTCGGGTAACCTTTTAAATATCTTTAAATAATCTCCACTAGACTGTAAACTTTATGAGGATAGGGTCTTTGCTTATTGCTGCATTCTCAATACTTAGCAGTGCTTATTATATAATAGGTAATTAATATTTATTAAATGAATCTTCTAGCCAGCACTGAATTCAGTCTTGTACTCAAGATTCCTTTTGGAATCAACAAGATTCTTAGTTTAGTGGAGAAATACAAAATGAAAAATAATTTTGATGTACCACTTTTAAGAGTTTGGAAAACTAAATACAAGGGAGGCAGTAATTACATAAATACATATGTTAAGGGACTGAAATAATATGTGTGTGTTGTCTTAGCTATAGAAAGAAAAAAAAATTGGTGATTTAAAAAATAATTTCTAAATTTCCTTTGCCTGCCATTTCATTAAGTACATTTGGAGAATACAAGGAGAAAAAACCCCCACCAAAATATCAAACATGGGGGGGGGGAGGGATTGCCTCTGAATTTATGAAAGCAAACCTGTAATTAAAAAAGGCAATTATGGGGATCCCTGGGTGGCGCAGCGGTTTGGCGCCTGCCTTTGGCCCAGGGCGCGATCCTGGAGACCCGGGATCGAATCCCACGTCGGGCTCCCGGTGCATGGAGCCTGCTTCTCCCTCTGCCTGTGTCTCTGCCTCTCTCTCCCCTCTCTCTCCCTCTCTGTGTGTGTGTGTGACTATCATAAATAAATAAAAAAAAAAATTAAAAAAAAAAAAGGCAATTATGTACATAAGACCTTATCACAAAGAAATTTGCTGGTATTTTAATTTTTTTAAATTTTTATTTATGATAGTCACAGAGAGAGAGAGAGAGAGAGGCAGAGACATAGGCAGAGGGAGAAGCAGGCTCCATGCACCGGGAGCCCGACGTGGGATTCGATTCCGGGTCTCCAGGATCGCGCCCTGGGCCAAAGGCAGGCGCCAAACCGCTGCACCACCCAGGGATCCCATTTGCTGGTATTTTAACAGTATTCTGAATTACTTGAAGTAAAGTGATAGTCAAGAGTGGATCAAAGAGTATTCCCCTGAATCTCTATGACTATGCTGACTATACATTTCTTTTTATTTTTTAAAAAGATTTATTTACTTATTTATTCATGATAGACATAGAGAGAGAGAGAGAAAGAGGCAGAGACACAGGAGGAGGGAGAAACAGGCTCCATGCCGGGAGCCCGACACAGGACTTGATCCCTGGACCCCAGGATCACGCCCTGGGCCAAAGGTAGGCGCTAAACCACTGAGCCACCCAGGAATCCCCCTACATTTCCTTTTATAATGTGCTTTTAATCTGACTTTCTATTCTTATTAGCATCTGTGTCCCAGGATTTTTAGAGCAAATAAAAACCAAAAAAATTTAAATTTTATTTACAATTATTTCATTTTGGTTGACAGACAAGTTATCTTTCCAAAATTTTAGGTTTCTATTTTAATTATAATGTCTATTAAAAATTAATTTAAACACAATTTGAATAACTGAAAAGAGATTTAAAAATTTTTTCGGGGATCCCTGGGTGGCGCAGCGGTTTGGCGCCTGCCTTTGGCCCAGGGCGTGATCCTGGAGACCCGGGATCGAATCCCACGTCGGGCTCCCGGTGCATGGAGCCTGCTTCTCCCTCTGCCTGTGTCTCTGTCTCTCTGTCTCTCTCTCTGTGACTATCATAAAAAAAAATTTTTTTCATTCTACTGTATTTAGAATTTGAGTCATCTGTATTTAACTTGTCCTTTGAATTGTTTATTATTTAGCTTTTCTTCTCTTGTAGCTGATGATATCAAAATAACTGAAACTGTGATTCTCTAGTGTCACCACGCATCACAAATTACTCTCTTGTTATTATTTGATACATAAGAAGAAATGTGATTTTAATGCTATTTTAAAACTATAAAAGTGCCTTCTAAACTTCTAATTTAAAAATATTTTAAATGAGATAATTTAAAAACTTCTCAAGGGGAAGAAAAAGAAAATTTAATTTTCAGGTTAATGCAATGATACCATTAAGATACTATTATACTTGTTTTAAATTACATTCTTGTTATGTAATTTATTTCAACTGAACCTTAGGCTTGATAAACTATTATGATACTGGGATTAATAACCTCCTAAGGAAATAATTTTTTGAAAGATGTCCTTTTTACCTGCAGTTTTCATATACTCTAGAAGAGTTCTCTCAAAATAAAATGGTTCACTAACAAGTGATGACAAATATACTAAATGAAAACATTAAACATGTAACTCAATTAATATGCTGCTTACTAAAAAAAAAAGCATAACATATCCACAGTGAAACATTAACAAGGATATAAACACAGTGCTGTTTAAGAACAATTAACCTTTAGGATGAGTTAGCATTTCTGTTTCCAAAAGCCTATGGTCCCAAGATTATTATCAGTATCTTTACCTAAGTGTTAACATATTTGTACACAGATTCAAAACATTTCAACAATCTGGACTAGTATAATCAATATATTAGAGTTGAATTAAAAAACAACAACAATGAATTACTAAATAATTACCCACTAAAGACAGTCTTCTCTGTCCTAAAGGGAAAGAATAGATGTGCTATCAATTTCAGTCCTGTTTCCTGATTACCAGAAGTTGCTCAGGGCATAGGCTCCTTTCAACAAGCAAATGCTAAACTCATTATTCTAAAGGGGAACTACGCAGACACACTGAGTACACATTGTAGCCATTTAAGGCCAGGTTTTGACTTGAATAGGCACAGAACTCCATCCAAAAGGAACTCCAGAGATGGGTACATGCAAGAGCAGAATGTGGCCTCGGCAAATCCCCTTCCTTGCAACTTGATACTTTCACTGGTTATCTTTTCAAATCATGTTTCTGTCCACTTAACACATTTAGAAGCAACAAAAAAATAACATGCTTGAAAAATACCTCTTTGGAAAAATAAGGTATAATCACAGAAATTTGGGTGACATTTTATAACCCCTTAATGAGGGGAGGAAACACAAACTTTCTTTTTGATTCAAAATAGCCAGTGAGAAGTAAGAAGCCAGGAATCACTTTCATTTCCCTGTAAAGAGCAATGACTTAAGAGATCAATGACTTGCCACCAACTGTTAAAAAAGGCCTTTTAGGAAGTTGGAAACTGAACTCTCAAAGTGTCTCTTAGCCTAATACTTTGTCTACCAGATTGTATTTCGTTTTCTTGTCAACTGCTTTTCCTATGAATAGATCCTTCCACTTATGGGATGAATATACAATTGCCATCAGATTCATATACTACAGAATTTTAGTAAAAGCTGTATTTACAGATATATTTGTTCTGTGAAATAACTATAAATCCAACCAATGCATTAGACTTACTTTTTCATCAATTCTACTGTATCTTCTTCCACCTTGCTCTAAAAAGTCTCAGAATTATTAGTCATAAATAAAACCACTTTTAATGGACTAGAAAACAATGAGCTGAGGTGTCTAAGCTTACCAAACTTCTTGCTTTCTTTAGTTGTGCCAGTCATCTTGATCTTTGCAACTTCAAAGAAATCTTTAATTTCTCTCTCATATAGTCGTGATAAATAATCCATGTAATTCTTAAAATAAAAGTAACAGGTACTTCTTACTAATAAAACAAATGTAACAATTCTGTCCCCCCAAATCCTTCGTGCTTGCTTTAAATTTTGTGGTCTAAACTTCTGATGCGTTTCATAGAATATAAAAAGTCGGCTGTTTTCTGTCTTAAAAAAAAATTGAACAGGCATCAAAACAGCAATTTACAAAAATATGAAGCCAAACATAATCACACTTATATTTTCATTTTTATGTATTATCTTTCACATATTTTCGAGATGCAATCATAATGTACAGGATATCTGGGTCAGAGTAATCAGGTTTCTCCCATTTCACACTTTAATGACTATACAGTGTTATGTTTTGTTGATGTACTGCAATTCAGTAAACCAATCCCCCAGCTCAGGCCACTTAAGTGGTTTCAATGTTTTGCTATGATAGACAATGTTATGATAAGCTTTTCATCTTTTTTTTTTTTTTTTTAAGATTGTATTTATTTGAGAGAGAGAGAGGAGGAGGAGAGGGAGAAGCAGACTTTCCTGCTGAGCAGGGAGCTGGTCTGGAGCAGATCCCAGCATCCTGGGATCATGACCTGAGCCAAAGGCAGACAATTAACAAGCCACCCAGGTGCCCCAAAACTGTTCATCTTTAATGAATTGTTTCCTGAGAATAATTTCCTAAGGGTGAAAATACTGGGCCAAAGAACATGGCAATCTTTTTTATTATTCCTTCCTACTGCCATGTTGCTTTTAAAAACAATCATACTAACAGACAGTGTCAATGGCAGCAAAGGAGTACACTCAGTTTTAGTGTCCCCTGTCAACTTAGTGTACTAAGGTATATCAAAATAGGTTATTTTCAATAAACTGTCAATAAGCTTAGGGTATTTTAGGTATACCAAAATATATTATTTTCAATAAGAATCTAATTATAACTAATATATTTTATAGCTTTTACAATTATTTTTTAAAAACAATTTTGATTTATTCTAGCTCAAATGGAAACATCTATAATTCAGCATACAAACTCATCATATCTGCTTATTATCACATAAAAGTATTTTATGCTCTCAGGAAGGATTTTTCAAAAGTGGGAGAGACCATATATTTTTCCAAGTCCTAAAAGTTAAATGCCATACACAGTTTGACTAAATTTACATAAATCCACAGCAGTAAAACTATACTTGGCTATTCTTTTGAATTTATTATGGACTCTAAGCTTCAGCTTCCTTTATTATTTCAAATTAATACATTCCATTTTAGAGCAGGTTTATGTCACTTTAAATATCAGGTGAACCTTTCAAAAGATATATATTATGTGAATAATTTGTATACTGACTCATAGTTTACTACTGATTTTCTTAGTTTATAGGTATATCCTTATAAAACAGTACTTGGATGAAACATATAAATCCTTGGTTTTTCAATTTGTAGGCCATATATATATATATTTCCCACATTATAAGAAAATATAGTCAAATGGGCAATTCTTTCCCATGAACATTGTATAAGTTTAAAAGCAAATATAAATGAAAATATACCTTAAAATTAATTCCTATTTCATTGGGTTGTCTCATTTTTTCAAGTTTAAATTCTCATAAAAATATTAATCACTGCAAATCAGTAAATAGCTGACAAACAGGAAATCAGCTTCACACAATTTGTGAAATCTTCATCAGTGGTTTCTACTCAAATCATTCAACAATTAACTATCCATGAGTTTAAATATTGTTGTCTCAGGCAGTCTTTTTTACTTTACATGTATGGTCTTACAGAGATCTCTGTATTTTATTTTTACTTTACACAAACAGGTAAATTCCATACAAAATAGAACTGAGGTTGACAGAACATGTCTGAATAATCTTTAAGACTGTCAACCTCAGGAGATTATTAGGAGAGGAAAGCTCATTTCCTTCCCAAGCATGGATGGACCATATCTATTACTGACTGCCCTACATGGATAACCAGAGCCACAGATAGGGATTGTAGTCCTGGGCAGGAAGGAATTTTGGCAGCTGAGTTATTTTCCATAAACTCTAATTATGTATACTAAAAATCAGGACTTTGCTTAGATTCAGCCCTAAGCAGAGCTGGGGCAGTGCCCAGTGATTCTTATCCCTTAAAGAACAGGAAACAGGCTTTTCTTTTCTTTCCTGCTTGAGAGCTGTGTACACCCAACCAAGTGCAAACAGTGTCTGCATTTAATTATTATTTCTTACTAAAGAAGCTCTGCTTAGTCTGTTTCATTCTTTCTTTCCTTCTTTCATTCCTCTCTTCCTTCTTCCTTTTTAATAAAATTCCTGTTTTTGAAAACTTCAGCAACCAAATTAGATTATGAGGTAAAACTGTCAAAAGTTCAAACCACAGGATCCAGTAACATTCCTGGGAAAAAAGTCAATTTCATTTAAAAAAGCTCATTAATATTGTCAATCAAAACTATACTGTGAGCAGAGAATGATTCCATAAATCATTGCTAGGTTGGCCATCATCTTGTTTCTTCACTTAAATTACATTCATGAATACTGCATTATATATAAAGATAGGGCAATAATACTCACTGAGAACACAATTAGGCAAAAAGCTTATTGATTACTTTACTTATTTGAATATTCACTAGGGGACAAAGCACTTGTTGGCACAAAACTCTTAAGGAGATATAATAATGTTTAATTATTCAAAATATTAATCCTCCTAAAACTTCAAAAGGCAAAGAACTCCAGTACTGTAAATATTTTTCCTTAAGATATCTCCAAATCAGAATTCTGTTGAATGAAAACAAAACAAAACAAAATATAACACAACAGTAGAGTTGCAGAATACTTAAAAGACTAATTCTGAGGAACAAAAGTAATCTTACCTAAAATAGCTGGCCAGATAAGATGTATATAAACACCTAGGGATACTTATGGTCTTTTTGAAAAGCATTTTTAAAATTATACTTTAAAAATATTATTTATTTTACCAAGGTCTAGGTCCCCTTTCTTATGATCTCAATTTGGAAGTAAAGGGAGCCAGATCTCACTTTAAGTGAACAAAGGCACTTTTGAAGAAAAAACATATACTGATAAGTAAGAATGTCCTTTTGCCAAACATGTTCATAGTGATACACTGATAGGAATGTACAATCTGCTTTTTTATTACTATCATAGTTCTCATAAATTTCTACCTAATCCTCTGCCTTCTGATGAAGCATGAGCCTAACACTAGAGGAAGTTATAATAATTATTTCAGTAAGTATGAAGATAAAGTGGGTTCATGTATAAACATTAGCTTCCTGAGAGAATAATCTTCATTATGAAACACTCTGAAAGAGAGCATCACTTTTGGAATAAAACTAGGAAAAATTTTTGCTAGCAAAAAAGAAGATGATTTTGCTAAATTCTGATAGGAAATTTTTGGTCATAAGTACATGGGTTGAAGGGAAGAGCTTTTATATTAACAATCTCAATATTCTTGTTCCCATTCCAAGAAATATAACACATCACTCTTTCCAATTCTAGAACATCTTTTAAAGTTATATTTTCTGCATAATTAAATTATTACCAATTATTAAAATAACATGCATTATTTAATTTTTAACTCCAAATTCATAAAAACTTAAAAGATTTTACATGTTTTTCAAGGGTATTTCAGATTTTTAAGTAACTGCTCTTATGTCCAATATATAAATATAGCTATTTATATATTTGAATTAGGTAGCAATTCTTTAGCTTTCTAAGTGACATGATCAATTCCAATACTAAAGGTCACAAGAGAAATGCCAGAAAAGTATTGTATCCATGGCTCCCTGCCACAATGGCCATTTATTAGAGCTAAATCAGATCACGTCATTGAACTGCTCAAAGCCCACCAAAACCCCCTCTCCCATCTCCTTCACAGTAAAAGTCACATCCTTACCATGGTATATGGTCCCTTCCCCACTTTTCCTTTCCTACCTTCCTTCTAAGGTCCTGTCCCTGGTCCTCTGTGCTCCAACCACTCTGCCTTCCTTGCTGCTGCTCTCCAGTACAACAGGCATGCTCTTGTTGCATGCTCTCTTGCCAGAGATCACCTGTATTATGCCTGGAAAGCTTTCCCCAAGAAACTCCCACTGCTCATCCTTGTTTGTTTTTTTTTTTTTTTTTAAGATTTTATTTTTAAGTAATCTCTATACCCAACATGAGGCTCAAACTCACAACTCCGAGATCAAGAGTCAGATGTTCTACCAACTGAGCCAGCCAGACACCCCTTACTCTTGCTCATTTTAAAAATCTATGCTCAGATGTTTTCTACTCATGATGTCTTATTTGAAACTATAGCCTTCCCCCAGTCCCAGCATTCCCTGCTTTATTTTCTCCAAAGCACTCAGCAGAACATTCTAACATACTATACAACTGGCTTTTTGGTCAGTTTTTCTCCACCAAAACAATGCACAAGGCAAGCATTTTGCCCGTTCCTTCAGTGCTGAATCTCTAGCACTTAGAACATAATAGGCTCACTTCATACATGAATGAATGACTTAAAACATAACAGGTGCTCAATTCATATATGAATGAATGACTCATCTTCTCCAATTGCTGATGTTTCTGGCACTGCTCTTCTAGTATCCAAGCCTACAAAGTTTGGCATTATCCTGTCCCTTCTATCCTTGGAGTCTCTCTTTTGGTTTCTTTCTTTTTAAAATTTTTTTTTTCTCTCTTTTGGTTTCTATTCTCTGTTCCAACCACTATCTTCCTGGTTCAGAGTTCATTCCATCTGAATTATTATACTAGGTTCTTAATTTGCCTCAATTAGTCTGTTTCCATGTATGAGGAGCAATGCTGTTACGTCTCATGGCTCATCTTTTCAACAAAATTTTTCTCTGCTTCCAGAATATGAAATTTCTGCTTCATAGGCTTGCATCCTCATTGTCCTGACAAAAGGGCGTATTTTCCCACTGTTGTCTGCATGCCTTGTTCCTCATCCCTGGAATGCTCTTTCTCCTTTTTCTGGTTTATCTAATCCCATTCATTATTCAAAACTTAGTTCAAGTCCAATTTCTGCCATGAAGTTTCCCCCCATGGCTTTAGGACGGAGATTTCTCTTTTTTAAACTGACATGCGTTTAAACTAATTTTCAGTTTAGCACTTAATTTTTTGCTGATTATTTTAAGTATAACTGTTCTTCCCAGTCATTATGTAAGGCTCTTTAGAAACAGGGCTTGTTTGTTAGGCCCTGTGTGCCTGGAATAGTGAAATGCTTAATAAAGAGGCACTCTGCACTGGCTTAATTAAACAGATTATCAAATCTTAGAGGGCAAACACCTCACTTATACATCTTCATAGTCTCTAGTTTCTATTGCATATTAAGAAACTTAGGAAATAATTATTGCATTTAATTAAATTGAATGAACCTTAAGGCCTATCACTGTATTAAACTGAAGTTCAAAATTTAGTTCTTCATTACTGAAGCAAATAAGCACAAAATAAATGTTGTGCCTGGTTAATGAGCACTCAGAAATTCAATTAATTTCTGCTTTGCTAAGAAGGTACTACAGTACTTCAAATGTCACTTGGAGAACTAAATACATGACCTCTCAATTCTAGAAGCTTATGTGCCATATTCAGTGAGTAATTGATATCAAACTCATACCTTTGTTAGTCCCTCGTATTTTCCATAATCTGTACTCTTTAGCCACTCCATCAACTTGGCATATCGAAGCAAGTCTCTATGAAATGGATGATGATTGGGTAAAGCCAGTTCAACAGAGTGCTGAGCAAGAGTTGAACTCTGATCATGACCCTACAGTGAGTAAATAAGTAAATAAACACATTGACAGTAAAAGAAACATGCTGTAATTGAAAACTCTTAACAATGACCAAATACAGTCAAAGAAAAGCAAAAGAAGATAGAAAGATAAAAACTGAGTACTTACTTGTCTTCTTTATCATCCTGTATAAATCTACTGAACCCCATCACCATAAAATAATCATAAACATGCAAAAATGGCACTCTGATAAATCAACTACTCATTTCATCTTCTAAAGGCATTGACAATGAATGTTTTAATCAAGCTTGTCTCTCCAACACCATATTATTTTACAACTTACTAAGCAAATAAACCTCATGATACAACTGTATTGAGAAACACAGCAAATATAGAAGTCATTCAAAATGTATTGTCTATATCTATGGTATTTCCATTAGTCTACAATATTTAAAATAATAAAGACATATAGGATACAGAATTTTAGAACTGGGAAGCACTGCAGATGATGATATCCGGGGCTTTCCTGGATAATCTTTAATAATAATGTAATTTTAGTTTTTCTAGTCAATTGTTAAATAACTACATATGATTTTATTTTAAAATGCTGACAAAACTTTTATGTAAACAAATAAATTATGAGTCAGTCTCAGATGATGCATCCTGACTTTTGTTTCGAAAAATATAAGTCTGGAAGATCATCTGATCCAATGACCTTATTTTCTAGAAGAAACTGAAACTTAAATGGTTAAGTGATTTATTCAGGTCACTCCGGATGTCAGAAGTGGAACCTTAGTCGAGTCTCCCTTCTATTTTCTTTTAAAAACATATCTAATAAAATCATTTAGCTAGACTGAAAAATTGCAAATGCCTACTAATTATTGGTTTCTAAACAAACAAACAAACAAACAAACAAACCCAATAAAAATCTTCCCAGCTCTCTTTGGAAACAATTTAGCTCTCTTTCTCTACTACTTGGTCAATATTTGTCATGGAAATCAAAGCCAGTGTCTAAGAGATGAAGATTGAAAGACTAAAGGAGTAGATTCCCTTTGAAAATGTAAGTTCCCAAGAATAAGGAAGGAAAAAACAAGATAGATTTATTCAATGTCATTCTGACTCAATCTAATTTGCCCAGTCAGAAGTTATTTTTTAGTATTCTATTAAAATGATACAGTGATTGAGTTTTGGGGCTGGTTAACTCATTTTCTAGGAAAGTTACCGAAATCTGATTATATATGTGTTACATTAGCTGACATAAAATAGTTTACAAATATCCTGAATTTAAATTCTTTTATCTATGTTTACTTTTTAAAAATTTTATTTATTTAAAAAGAGAGAGAGAGAGAGAGTGCATGGGGTGATGGGCAGAGGGAGAGGGAGAGAGATAATCTCAAGCACAAATGCTGAGCACAGAGCCCGATGTGGCGCTCTATCTCATGATCCTGAGATGTCGACCTGAGCTGAAATCATGAGTCAGACCTTAACAGATTGAGCCACTCAGGTGCTCCTGAATTTAAATTCTTTTAATTTAAGAGTTTCCTTCCTCTAATTTATATGTTTTACTACATACACAAAATAAGATAGTGATCATGAATTTTTTAAACAATTTCTTTTTTTTAAACTAAAACAGTTGACAATTTTATTTTCACATTTCACAATACAAATGAAAATTGCCTTTTTTTTTTTTCCAGTCCCGCTACTCCCCTGCAAAAACTATTCTTTGATAGGAAGGGGAAGCAAGTCTTCCTTGTCATGCTGTTAGAAAACACCCAGAGTCACAGCACCATGATCTCCTGGTGAAGTAGAACAAGTAATATAAAATGAATAAAAAGAGGTTCCTATCTCTCCTGTGGTCGAGTCATTCCTGGCTGAGTGGGCACCATGATGGGACGGGCAGGAGGTCTCATCATTGGGGCCCAGGCATCATTGGCATGTGGCCTCCCGCAGGTGGCATCATCCCAGGAGGAGGAGGGCCCATCATTGGAATCATAGGAGGGCCCCCCATATGGGGGGCTGGCATCATACCAGGGCGAGGAGGGCCCGGGAGACTAGGGGGAGGTGGGATCATTGCCCCTGTAAGAGGAGGAATAGAGGATGGAGTAGGAGGGATCTTTCCTTGTTGAAATGCAGTGGTTGTTTTGTCCATTAGGCTCTGAGCCTGCTCTTCCATTTATTTCTGATAGTAGTCTTTTACATTCTCTGTGTTTCCTACCACTGCAGTGTGTCTTTCTCACAGATGGAGAGTCATGGGTGAGGTATGTGTCACAGTAGTCACAATAAAACTTAGGCATGGTGCTCTAACAATTTCTTTTAACCACAGAGTATGCAGAAAAAATTCCTGATCTACGGACATGAAGAATTCTCTAGGAATTACAAAGCAAGAAAGATAGGAGTCTAAGACATGTGAAGTACTAAAACCATCATAAATTGAGTTCCTTCTTCATTAAAGTTTTCAAATCAGCCTGTTGAATTTCTTCTTCCTGTAAGATTACATCCCCAGTTTAAAATGGAGATAATAAAAAAATAAGGATCCATTATACAGAAATTCCATATAAAACCATGTAGAACTATCAATATATTTCTAAGATTAAGGATTATTTAAAATTAAGATTACTGATATCACTTGATTAAGATTATTGATATCTACTTAGGAAATTGGGCCAGAGATGATAGAAAAATATCAGAAAATTAGGCTAACCAATTCAAAATAAGAATCAGGGTGAGGTAACACAAGTTCACAGCTATTATACATGTTATATACAAGGTAATCCTTTTCTGCAATTCTAAAATACAAAAAGCTCTAAAAACTCCATTTAAATTTGGTGCCAAATCTATTTTAATGGCAAAACTTGACCTGAACTGACATGAGGCTATTTATAGTGTTTGGAATGACTATTCATATTTTTTTGCTGTAGGAATATTGTGTGCTTAATCACAGGCCATGTTCTAGACTCTCTTGGAGAAAAAGTACTATAGTATATGCACTATATTACTTTACTAAAGTCTGAAAAATTCTAAAAACATAATTGACCCCAAGAGTTCTGCATAGGGAACATGTATCTGTGTGAACATTCTTTTTTGGATGGCTGATTAAATATAAAACAATCACACCTCCCAAAAGAATCATTGTGGACTAAGAGATACAGTTTTGAAAAATGTAACTATTCATATTTTTAAAATGCCTGGTCACATGTTTTTCTGTGAAGTAAAGACTAACAATAGATGTGAACAAAATTAACAATTTTTTAAAAAACAGTTATTACCACTAGACTATACTTCATCTCTCATGATAGTTGCCAAAGGCTGATTTTTAAAATTATTTATTAATATAGTATTAGAGATCTTTTATCATCCCAATCTTTCTCATTAATTTTTTTCAATGTTCCAAGACTCAAAATTATCATTTATGTTCTTCTGCAACTGTTTACTCATGCCATTACGTGTTAAGTTATATTATTTAATTGTCAGGAAAGTTCTTCAATTAAAAACCTTCCCCTCCCCCAAAAATGGAAGAACTAATTACTGTTTGTAGAGGATTTTACAGTTTATAAAGCTCTTTCATATATGTTATTATTCAAAACTTTCTTTTGCAAATAGCATTTTAAGATCACTATCACCTGAAAAACTGCCTTCTTCTCCTATGAAGAACATCATTACCTTCAAATCATTACTATTAAGATATTAAATGTGATTAGTGCTAACAGAAAATTTAGAGAAACTGGTTCTAAAATAACTATAAAAAATAAGAAAATTAAGCATTTAAACTGTGTAATTCAATCACTAATATAGGCTACTGTCACTTCTAGACCTCTCATGTGCACACCTTATTCTTTATATATTAAAAAAAATAAGACATTGTTCAAAGTTTCTTATTGTATCTAAACTATAGGAAACAACTGAGGGTTGCTGGAGGGACGGTGCGTGGGGGACGGAGTAACTGGGTGATGGGCATAAAGGAGGGCCCTTGATGGAATGAGCACTGGGGTTATATGCAACTGATGAATCACTAAATTCAACTTCTGAAACTAATAATACATGTTAATTAAATGGAATTTAAATTAAAAAAATAAAATTTCTTATTATAAATAATAAGTAACAACAATCTACTGAATGTTGTTATGCTTGGCATGCTCTCTCTTTCTATAGGTATAGATTCTAATGTTCACAATAACCTTGCAAAGCACTTTTCTCCTTATTTCAAAAATAGAAAAACTCAGGTGCCTGGGTGGCTCTATCTGTTAAGCGCCCAACTCTTTGGTTTCAGCTGGGATCATGATCTTGCAGTTGTGCAATCAAGTCCCAAGGCAGGCTCTGTGCTCAGCATGGAATCTGCTTCAGATTCTCTCTCCCTCTCACTTCCTGGGCACTTTCTCTTTTTCTCTCATCAATCAATCAATCAATCAATCAATCTTTAAAAAATAGCAAAACTATTATTAACATAATTTAAAAATAATATGGTAGGTTTTGTCCAAATTAATCTAAGAGAGACACATTTTCTATAAACTAAATGCATCATAAATTTTCATTAGTGTATATGTTACTAGAATTTGTGGCACAAAGAGGTTAATTAACATGTTAAAGGTCACCCATCTAGGAGGTAGGAGAGTCAGGGTTTTGATTCCAGGAAGTTTGGCTCCACCGTAGTCCCTTGTACTCTTAACCACTTTAACCAATTTTCCAACAGAAATGATACACTTATTTCAAATGTTGGGTAAATTCTCAAGATTCTGTATTATGACATGTTTATTTTTATTGTCTTAAAAAAGAAAGCCTGAGCAAAGTTCCAACAAACATCACAAAAATTGATCGTAAATAATCAATTCTTTCTCAGCTTTTAAATACAGATCATTAACCTATGTTTAGGAAATTGTGAAACATTCTTAAAGAAACAATTTTTGTGAAATGAACTGCATACTGGTGGTATATTTTATAGGCTTTATTTTATGATGTTTCTATAAATATATGTTGAAAGAAAAATTCCCAAACTTAAGCATATAGCAAAACCCCCACAATTTCTGTTTTTTCCAATTGTACTTTTAATTCAGTGCATAATCAGATCTCAGCATATTGCAAGAGACAATGACAGAATTATGAGGTCTCTGCAGAACCCAAGGGGGACAATCTCTTTTCTGTACTTGAGACACTCTCTCCCACTTTCTTCAGCACATCCTAGGTTGTTGCAACATTCTGGATTTTAACATGCATCACTCACATTTAACAATACGTATTAGATTTTCAGAACTGGAAGCATTCATAGTAAACAAAGCCATTAGTTTCCAAGGCAAGGAAGCAAAATCATAAATTAACTGCATGTTACAACAAACAATGAAGGGTGCAGAAAGGACTACTGTTTACCTACAGTAACATTCCAACATTTCAATGCCATCTACAAATGTGGATAACTATCAACAATGTCATTTTTTAACACTACAGAATTGGGCAGACATAGCTATCACTGAAGTACTAATGTAAGAAAATGTGATTAGTATTACCTATGTGACTTCTAGTTTTACTTTTTTCTTGATATTTTTCAGGTCAAGTGAAACGTAGAGAGTCTTCCCCAGTGTCTCCCTCACACCCTCAGCTAAGATGGTCTTCCTTTATGTTCGCACATGTGATCACTATGATAATATTTACCCTTCCTGAGTATATCTACCTCCCTCTCCTAGACTGTGAGGCACTGGAGGACAGGATCAGCTCCTCACCTAGCCTAAGTAAATGGGTGGTATGCATCCCAATCACGTGGTAAAACGTTTCTAAATAAATGAAGGCGTGAGTGAAAGAACGACAGGAATTGAGAGGCAAGCAGAGGACATGAAATGCCTTTTTGGTCAAAATAACCTTTTTGCTATGGGACATTAAAAAACTGCTATAAATATGGTTAACAGGCAGCTTAAGTCAGTAAAGTTATAATCTATAAAGATTCTGCTGCTGTTAAGTTTAGCAAACTTCACAGACCAAAAACAAAAAATCAGAGAAGCTTGAGCCAAATTTGATGTACTCACAGGCACCGAAAGAAAGTAGGACCTGTTATAGAGTTGAAGGAGGGCCTGAGTAAACTAATTGGAAATAAAATATAGTAAATACAATTGTTTTAGAATACTGCAAAGCGAAAACAAAATAAGAATTCAATGTTTCAGATAGCATTTCTTGATGAACGAAATTTCTCAGTTTTTTTTGTTCAATAACCTTAATAAGAGATGAAAAGCATAAGAAACCTAATCCTTATGCCAGATTAAAATACCTTCTATTCAAGTCCTGCTAAAGTACTCTTAATATTATTAATATTATTGCCACAACCTAAGCTATCAACCTCCTTTTCCATATAAAAATGTAGACAAAGGGTTTATATAAAATTAAATCAAATAGAACTTAACAACTGAGTGATAGTCATTTTTCTCACATGAAAATACATACAGCCAATGAAACATTTAAAATACTGAATCAAGTTCTGGTTCTCATCTCAAAATATTGAAAAGTAAAATAGGCCAAGTAGCAAATATGTAACAAGTTTGGATGTACTTTTATAAATAAAGAACATATAAATGGTGTATTTAATAAGTAAGCATAATTATTTGATTTATTTGATTTCTAGAATCAGACAGTTTTAGCTGCAAGGAACTAGACTGCCTAACTAAGGAAGCAGCTGAGGGCCAACACACATCTATGAGTAAATACTTAAAAATCTCAAAACTGGATAAATGTGTGAAGGAATATACTGTGGTCCCAATTAAACACATTACAATTTTTGTGGAAATTTAAGTTTAAAGTAATATATAAAAAAGCTACAGAAACATGCCACTTTTATTAATGAAATAAAATTACCTGCTGAACAAAAACATTGTTGAGGTGACTGGCCAGTCTCCGGGCAAACTGCTCACGCAAATCACTGAAACGCTGCTGCTGCTGTTTGACTGCCAGCAGCATGTCATGGCCTGAAACCAGAACGTTTCTTGACTGATTTAATAGGTAAAAGGATTTCTCTGATCTTCAATGAATACATTTATAATAGTATCCATATTTCATTCAGTTTTGAAGAACCCAAAGTTTTATTGATTTATTCATTTGCTTTATAAAAAAGGTAAGCAAGAGAAGAAAATGGTAGAACACAATGGTTCTCAAAGTGTGGTCCTGCCTCAGCATTATCTGGAAACTGTTGGAAATGTGGATACTAGAGCTTTGGCCCAGACCTACTGAATCTGGAGGTGAGGCTCAGCAATATGTGCTTTAACAAACCCTTTCCATGATTCTGAGCAAACTCAAGTTTTTGGAATGCCTGACCTATCAGAACCTCAGCTTTCTGGTCTAATCAAAACACTGACTTTGTGCAAGGTCTGTGCATAGTACTAAAGAAAAATCATGGTGTTAACTAGAGTCACTGATGATCAGTCATAGGAACTGAAATGAAAAAGTTCTTAGTGCCAAAAGAAGCATGTTTGGAAAGAAGTGAAACTAGTTTGAGGACCTAATACTACAGTCACCTTAAACCACTTGCCCCACGTTATTTCTTGTTAAAAGCTTTATAACAAATTACAGGCTTAGTCTCAGATCCTTGGTCAGATTTTATCATTTCTAATGAACATACCTGGACGAAGAGCTACATTCATGCACTGCAGAAGGGCATCAGCGGCATTGGTACAGGCTTCAATGCCTCTAGAAGAAGCAAGATCTCCTTCCTGAAGGGCCTTTATATGACCTTTGGCCAGGTCCATGTGGTTCTAGAATATATATAAATATACCATTTGCACATGTGATTTCAGGAAATTTACAAGTAAGATGCTACTCAAGCCTATCATAAGGTCTTTGGAATTATTTTAAATCTTACTCTCATAAGGAAATTAATAAATGTTTACAAAAGGGTTTTATATATTATTAGACTTTTTGGTTTTTGTTGGAGGTGGCAATTTACAAAATACTTACCACGAGAAACTCTATTTCAGAGAGGAGTTTTACATTATTAGTGTTACTAAGATGAATTAGGTGGTTGCTTTCAGAGATCTGATCCATTTGTTCCTTTACACTTTGGAGCATTTCCTCATAACTGCTCAGTTTCAACTCAATCTGATCTACCTCCTTTAGAGCCTCATCCAGCAACTTCATCAGGATGTTCACTTGCTTTTCAGAGGCCATGATTGATTGGATGTTGGCCTACAAAGTGAAAAACAAGAGTAACTCTTTCATATTATTTAAATGTATAAAAGAAACATAGATGAAATATTGCTAAATCCCTTTGACAGGTGAGTAAAGATTGATATGCATCTACATATTTATTTTAGTGTATCACTCTATCTTTATGTTCCCTTTTTACACAGTGTTTCAAGAAGATACACTTGCCTCTCTGTCAAGGTTAGGGACCATTTCTTAGTATTTTATATTTCCCCAGATTGTACAAGTAGGGTTCTGCCCCACATTGTATCACTGGTGTTGACATATTACCATTTCTGACACCTCCAATTCTACCAGCTATAAAAATTTTCTATACTTACGTTTTTGTAAAAGGCTTAAAAAAAAAAAGCATAATCACCTGTGTAATACCTTAGTCAAGAGGGTAGCAGTGATATACCAGTCTTTGAAGGATACACTGAACTAATTCATAACTGTAGTACAATTGGTACTTACAGGATGTCGAAGAGCCATGACCACATACTATATATCCATAAGATAGCTCCTTCTTTTGTGTTCTTTCTTTTCTTTTTCATTTGCAACTACTGTATGTTTTTTTCCAGGCAAAAGAGGAACAAACCACCATCCCCTTATCATTGTTTTCTAAGTGATTCTGACTATTGATTCTAAATTTCCTGAAATACGGAAGCTGTCAAATCCAAAATAAAACTGGGAAGCAACATGATAACTTGTAACATATATGCAATATTAATTACAAAAGAAAATATAAACCACTAAGCCACACTAAGAAGGCAGGTAACTGGGTATGAGGAAAAAACTTGGACCAAGAATGAAAAGAATTTCATTGGACAGTTGATGCTGTAATTTCACACATATTTTATATGCTATTCAGAATAACTCAACTGTAAGTACAGCCCAATGTTAAGAGTCAGCAGGGCTCAGGGTCATTAAATAGATCTCTTTGGTAGAAGACCTGGGGTTCGACCCTGTCAGGACAATTTCCACCTTAACATCTTATAGTTTCTTCTAGACTTAGCTTCCAGTGAGTTTTATAAACTTATAAACTTGGACTATTTGTATAATCTCTGGGCCTGAGTTCAACTTCATAAATTCTGTACCTTTCATGTATAAAATACCAAAATTCTTTAAGTCTTTAAAAATACTTCTCATTCTCTGAAGGTTTTTCTTAAATGCTTACTTTGTCTAAACAAAACAAAAACACCACATGTTCTTGTTACAGATTTTTCTCACATTAGTGGTGGTGTTATTTTTAGCTGTGTCTATTAGCTTTTTACTTTCTAAAGATGTGCATTTAGTTTATAGACTCAGAAACTTGTGTACAAACGAAAAAGAGCCATCCCAAAACATTTTAGCAGAGGAGCCAAACATCCTTTTCCCCTGGCTCCTTGTTTTCACTTATTTTGCTCCTTCTGGGTAAATGATTCACTTACTTCAAACTAATTTTCCTATTTCTAATTTGTACCTTTTTTTTTTTTCAAACCACAAAAATGATGTGAACTTTTGCACTGAACTGTCCTGTGATATTTCAGGGGCTGAGGGGAAGCAATCCCCAAACTGGTTTCTGGTTGGCTACTTTTCACTTCCATCACTTCGTGTCAAGAACCTCCCCAAGTCCCCCACTGCAGCAAACTGCCTTCACTGACCCGATTAGAAGGAATGGTTCTGTCTTTTGAACAAGAGCAGTGAAAGATACGGCTTCTGGTAATGTGCTTACAGAAAGAGATGGCAAGAATCACGTTATAAAGGCTTAGGTGCCGAGGCAATAAAACTTGAATATCACCAGTCTTTTCAATCTACTACGTATGATTCATTCACAGGTTATAAAAAGGTCTTACCCCATCTAGCACCTGCAGCTCTCTGGACAGCCTTTCTGCAAAGGCCTCAGCATTAGAGATTGCACATTCACAGCCTTCCATCATTATTTCAATGTCCTGTTCTTCTCTTGCATTTAACTCTTGGTATACATCTACTACTTCTTCATCACCTCCTGTCACACTCTGATTTTCTCCACTTGGAACAGACTCTTAAAGAGGGTAAAAATTAAAAAGAAAGAAGTAAAAAAAGTAGGAAGGACAATAACACGGGACTTATAACTGACTAGTTATAAGTACAGGTCACATTTAGTGGCTGAAAAATAGGAAAGAATGATTCAGAATATTAAAAAAACCCTTATTTTTTGTGAAAAACTTTATATGTTATTATATTTACTGTAACATTTATTATAACAAATACAAAGCATGCAGTCTAATTCACTTACTTATAAGTGTTAAAACAGGCTTTAGACAATTTCCCAAAACATAATTAAACTACAAAAACAAATACAAAAGCAGAAACAAAACAAGGACTATGAATTTAGGACACATAAAAAATAATTTGCTTTCTTTTTTTTCCCCAAGTAACATTTTTCTTCTGTTCTTTTTTGTCCTGCTTTTTTTTTTTAAATAGCTTTTAGTTGAAATGAAAAATGTATTCATAATTTATTTTGGGTATTAAAAATTTTATATGAGTTTTCCATTTCTTTGTTTCAAAAAAATTTCACATGTATTGATAAAATTTCTAAAGATCCGGCATAAAAGTTTTCTTAACAAGTCCATAGCAAAAAGAACAACAAAACATGGCTGTTTGAAATTACAAAAAGTTAAATGGTCTTCATGCTTTTTAACAAAAGATCAATAAGTCAAATGTAAAGTGTCTGCTGGATAAACGCTTCAGTTCAAGTTTTTGAGAAAATACACTTGGCTTGTCGGATTTTACATAAAGCTTGAGGTTAGGAGAGGTAAAGAGGAAAAAAATAATTTTACCCCCTAACTGAAACTCTAGATATAAAGTTACTGATTTTCATAAATTTAATGGGACATGATTTAAATAATAACCTCTGGACGCTTTAAATATTCATTATTTTGTATGAAGGTGAAATATTTACATTCAGCATGACTTGACATATTTAATTTGTTCTAGGAATAAAACAAATTATCAAAGCAATAAATGGTTTATTCTTAAGAATGATAATTAGGCAGATTTAGATAATGTCCCAGGAAGAAAAAGAGGGGAATAAAACTTTTGGTATAGTCAATTACAGATTACAATATATAGATAGTTCTTTACACAGACATCATCTAGCTCTCTGTCCTTTGATCGAGTCCATTTTAGCTCACTGTGGCAATGTCAAATTGTCATATCTGCCAGTTCATTAGCCACTAGGGGGCAGGGAGTGACCAAATCATCCTGTACAGCTCCTTACACAAGCAGATATTTAAAATAAATAAATATTTCAAATGATCATAACTTCTTCAGAAGTATTTTCTCTTCCATGAAACAGTCCTCTGGAAGTCAATAATGAATCCTACCGTTAATTTTATTACTATATGGATTTTGTGGTAATAAACTTGTCCCTATGCACAATTTCATAAAATATGCAACCAACAGTACATAACAATGGCAAGTAATAAAAAATATATGGAATAGAATAAGAAGAAAAGGTGTTACGCACCTTCTGTAACTTTAGGCAGTTCTGGAGAGTAAAAAGGTATGAAAAAAGCAGAGGAAAGTAAGCAAAGAATATTAGCTGGGTAGAAAAGTATACAGATTTAAAATTTTTAAATACTACCCATATTTCATTTGAACTTCTGGTACATCAAAGTTTAAAAGACAACGTCCAAATCAACTACTAAGTGGAAAGATCCACCGAAACTAAATTTCCAGAGTTAATTCTCTTATTCTTTTTCTGACAATGACTAAAAATACATGTATCTTACTATTTTTACTTTCTTTTAAGAAACAGTACTGACTAGTCCTTGGAGAAAACTGGGAAATAGATCACTTCCTGAGAATTATTTTTAGGTCAGCTGTGACTCATGCATTTAGTCTAGTTATTTTCACTCAAGGCCCCAAAACTTTACCCAGACACTATCTCACAATAGATTAGTCATAAAACACTGTTAGAAAGGACGAGATTAAAACAACTTTAAAAAACACACATGAGGTATCTGTTGCAGCTGGCTTTTAAGGATTCAAGTAAGAAATTTCTTTTTTAAAACCTGGCTATAAGAATGAAAAAGAAAAAGCCAAACAAAAACTTGACTTCACTTCAAATGCTAACAAAATCCTTCTTTAAAAACCTTAAAAACCTTCTGCTGAGAAACCCCACTTACTAGCACACTCAATTGACCCCAATGAAAACCACTAGAGTTGCCACTGTTAGCATTCACAGTGAAGTCTTACTTAATTATCTTAAAAGTAGATGTTGATTTAAAAAAAAAGTAGATGGTGATAATTTCTTATTCATTTTTTAACATCACCTAAAGCTTAGACATATTTACTATCTTTTTAATGTCAATCAACAGCTATGATATCAAAATCCATTAAAACATTAAAATAATAAAAAAAACATTAAAATAAGTTTGCAGACATTAATAAAACTATTCTCTGAACTCCACTAAACCGAAGCAACAGTTATTGATATATAGAAAATGATTTTCAAAGTGAGATCCTTAAGGATCTTCACAGTATTCCTAAAATTGATCTGAATTAGGGATTACTTTTGTAAACATGAAAATATCTACTTTGCTTTAGGCCTTAAAAAATTAAATGCTTTTTTTTTAAATGCTTTTTTTAACTAGACACTTATTTCTAAAAAAAACAGCAATATTCTTCTCACTGACTACCAGTAATATTTCTTAAGGAGGGAAATCAAGTAGGCTATGTAGTTTTTCTACTCTGTTGACTCAATGAAATGTATTGGTTTAAAACACATCATAGGCAACAAGCAACCTCTGGATATATGCAATATTTAAAAACAGAATAGCTGTCATTTCCTCATCAAAATGTTCAACACTGAAATGGTAAAATAAAATAAAAGCCATTCAAAACAAATTAAACCACTATTCAAGGCATGAAAAACTACTACCAATTTCTTAAAGGTCATTCCTTCAACATACTCATTGCCAAGAGGTCTAAAATGTTAGTGACATGGCAACCAACCCAAGAGCTCCTACACAAGGGCTTCACTCGGGGGAGGGGCACAGGGCCTGACAGATGTGACTTGCCTCTGCCAGTTTCAAACATCAAATCTGAAACCAATAACGGTTTACTAACTACTAAGTGTTGGGAAGGAATACTATAATTGAGGGAAATATTCACAGGCAAACAGAAAAGGATTAAGTAAAATAGAATAGAAAAAGGACAGAGTCAGGTAGCTAAGTAAATGAATAGCTTGAAGCATCTGAAATGGCCATTCTTATAGGTCAAAATGGTTGAATATTGGCTATTTCAGATGTTTCAACCGAACAAAATGAAGCTCCTATTTTAAAATGCTAATATATGGAATGCCTGGGTGGCTCAACGGTTGAGTGTCTACCTTCAGCTCAGGGCATGGTCCCAGAGCCTAGAGATCGAGTCCCACATCTGGCTCCCCTCGAACAGCCGGCTTCTCCCTCTGCCTATGTCGCTGCTTCTCCTGTCTCTCTCATGAATAAATAAATAAGATCTTAAAAAAAAAAGCCAATATGTAACTTAGGACAAATCTAAGTTTTCTTTCTAATATATATTATTTGGAATAAATCTGTTTTTTTTTTAATTAATAAAGAGGAACAACAACTCTTCATCTGCATACTAGCTCTTATTTCAACTGCTTTCTTTGGGACCAAGAATACAACACAAAGTGTATCCACAAGGCATACAGACCATTTTCTTACGATGTTTATGTCTTCATAAAACAAATTTTAAAAGAATAAAATCCCATTGTATATTTTTAATGAATAACAGTAGTTTTCATCTTGTAACACAAAATAATCCATAGTAACATCCCTGAAGGTACACCGATCACAAATATCTTATTTAACTTCATATCTAAAGATTTTATTCTGATAATATAATAGGAGCTAATATTTATTAAGTACTTACTATACACCTGGCATTGTTCTTGTCACATTCATATTTAATTTAATTGTCCTCACAACAACCCTATGGAGTGGATACTACTAATTATCTCTATTTCTGAGATAAAGAAAACTGAAACATAGAATCACTCAAGGTCATATAGCTGGTAAGTGACAAAGCCAGGATTTGAACTTAAGCAGTCTGACCTGATGTTCTTAACCACTATACTTACACTCTGTACAAAAATACAACCACAAGGATATTCATGTCAAAATTATTTAAAATAAGCAAAGACGGAAATTTTAAAATAAATGATTAGTTAAATAAATTAAGGTATATTCATATAATGGAATACTATGGTACCGGGCAGCCCCAGTGGCGCAGCAGTTTAGCGCCGCCTGCAGCCCAGGGGGTGTGATCCTGGAGACCTGGGATCGAGAACCATGTCGGGCTCCCTGCATGGAGCCCGCTTCTCCCTCTGCCTGTGTCTCTGCCTCTCATTCTCTCTCTGTGTCTCTCATGAATAAATAAGTAAAATCTTAAAAAAAAAAAAAAAGGAATACTATGGTACCACTAAAAATAATGTCAGGGTAAGTATTTAATAACATGAAAAATGTTCATTATAAGAAAAAGTATGTTAGAAAACAGAATGTGAATTTATTTTTTAAGGGATTTATTTATTTTTTAAGGGATTTAAATATGCATAGAAAAAAAGACTAGAGGACTATCTAACAAAACATTAACAGCAATCATCCCTGAGGATTAAGTTTATAAATGATTTTTTTATTTAATATATCAATTTCTCTAACGAACAAGTATCAGTCCTATATTAAGAAAAATTACTTTTCAACTCCTTTGCAATATAAGGTGAATCAGTGTTCTAATCATTTTGAGTAATGTCAAATTAAATATTCACTTTAGATATACTTGATTTTACATTAGCATTTTTATTTAACTTTACCTTCCAGGAGCTGTGAACTAACATTGACAAAATCAATTTTCTTCCGGAGATATCGCTGATTCAATTTCCAAATGCATGAAATAAATGCATTCTTTTCAGCAGTGCTGCTGGCAACCCATTTATATATTTTTTCAAAATGTAAATCAAATTCAGGATTTTCCTGAAATAAAAATATACAAAAGATACTGTTTTTGATCTTATCCCTTTTTCATTATTATGAAGTTTATATTTCAATAAAATGAAAAGAAGTTGAAGCTGTTCTTAAAAAAAAAAAAACAACCCACTAAAAATCAGCTAAATGACGTACAGAGAATGGTTCAGAGAATTCAATGTATAGGAAAAACTTTATCTCCCAAAAGAAGCTGGATTAAAAAAAAAAAACACAATGTTTCAGTAATTTCCTTCCTATGTATATGGGAAGTATATGAGTAGAAGTATAGGATAGGAAGTATAGGATAGTATAGGAAGTATAGGTAAAAGCTTTGTGTCCCAGCTTCCTGGTCTCTAAGATGACAATGGTCTCCAGTTTTGATGTGTACCTAATTTTTCTTTTTAAATTGCCTATGGGGTTTTAAAGTTATACATCTTCTTTGATAATGCACTATTATTCATAACTGTGATCTGACACTAACTCCTTAGTAAGCTTCTTATTATAACATATGAGAAAAAAATACAATCTACATCCTAGTGTAGTTTCCAAGAACAAATGAAGTGAAAGCAGGGACTGATTCTGTTTTCAATTCTGAAATCAGAGAATGATTAAAGGTGCCTCAAAAATAAAAAATGCTTGTCTTTTGAATGACAAAGAAGCTCAACCTGTGGGAGAAGTGCAGTATGCTGTCTCTTAAGTCACACTGCAGCAGTGATTTCATATCAGGATGATATTTCCCTTGTGAATGTAGGATCACTTGACTGCTATCTAAAAAATGAAAACCTATGGATGTATGCTTTTCTTCATATCCAAGGAATTAAAAATGGATTCAAACGTTCTTAATGTTCTACGAAAGGGTAATAATATATCCAATTAATTCAAAATATCATTTAGGGGGGACAAAATGTAAATGAATGCCTTAAGGGTAAGGGAAATTATATCAGACATTCACTGTAAAGAGCTGGGATAATTTAGGGATTAGGACTTGACCTGGTAAAATAATCATATTATGGTAGCATGGAACTACTAATTAGCTCAATAAGCAGAACAGAAACATCAAAAGATTAAAAATCTGCATTTACAATAAAGAGGTAATTGCATTATTACTTATAAAAAAACTAAGAGTATTGGCAACTAATCTAAAACTTGATGGGAAATTATCTCTTCCTTGGGAATATTTCCCATAATGCCATAAAAGAAGCTGAGTGCTCCAGTGGCAACACTCACACAAATCAATGTGTGACACTAAATGGCTAATGTTAGGCTATGTATAAAAATTTTATGTTTTATATCCATATATAGTGTACACACGCCAAGGTGCCTATATAATATGAAAAAAAAATCCATTAAGAAAGCTAGCAATGAGGCGTCAGCTGTGAGAAAACATTTAAATAAGCATCAGCAATGTTAGTGAATTATGCAAGTCAATGGGGTTATAAAGTGCAAAACTATTGAAGGGAAAAGGCTCTTTAATAAAGACGCATTTCTAAAAAGCCCTTACAGTATTTTTTCTTAAACAGAAACCTACCAAAAAAGTCTCTACTCTTGATCTTTTCCCCTGGTAACAGAATTTATTAAATAATTTATTAAAGTGTTTTGGGTGCTCCTTAGGGATAAATCAACGGCCCAGAATGCCCAGAGAAAGGCATTCTCTACATTTGTTAAAATCTGAATTCTGAATTGCATATTCTAGATGTGCAAAGCTTTCCTAAAGCTGTTTTTGCTTCATTTGAAAATATTTTACTCAACTGCCTGTCATTTTGTCCAGCTTTTAGATCCCCAGAGGTCTGTACCAGGGTCAGGGTAAAGTCAGACTTCTACTTTATTGGATGCTCTACAGAGGTAGCTTTTACTTCTTTGTGCCTTTTAAATAAATTTGTGAGACTTGAAGGGTTAAATCAAAGGGTCCTTGCAGTTAGGTAATGCAAACCTTGCTATCAGCCCTATCACCAATGGGTGTGATGCAAAACATGCCTGTGGAGGAAGGAGAGGGGCAGCGTTAGAGAGGCTAAGGGGAAGGAGCAGCTAATTTCACCAGAGGAGCTCTACTTGATTTCTTTGAAAAAAGGGTATTGCTGTCAAAAGCTTTGACTTGTCAGAAATAAACGTGGTCCTTTAACATGATTACTACATTATTCAACCTTCTTCAAGTTGGAGTGTGGCTTCAGTGAAAACTGTAATATTTACATTCTTATATCTTATTCTTTAAGTTCCTTAAAATAAGGTGTTATCTCACCATCACTTCCTTTACTTGAGCCACAAATATGAAACCATGGCCTCAACAGGCCAGCCTGGTTGCCTTAGCTGATGATTCTACATTAATTTGTGAAGACAAACTAAGGAAGACTCACTTTGGTTAGAGTATTGCACATGATTTTGAACCAGGTTTTACCAAAACAATGAAGGTTTAAAAAAAAAAACTACTCATAATACTTTAAAATATGTATAAGGATTTTATACAAAATATACCCAACCTAAATACAGAAATATAGAGTTATTTTGCTCTAATGTACATAACTTGTGCACAAACATAACTATGGCTCAAACTGCCCCCCCAAAAAAAACAATGAAACAAACACACATACAGATTTATTTTAGTAGCTTGAGATTAAAGAGTGGGAGAATAGAAGGTTTAATAATACACTTTAGACTAATTCTTGGTTAGTTGGTAAAGCAGAGAATTATAAAATAAAAAGTTTAGATCATCCTAAAAGACATAATATTATGTTATAAAATGAAAGACACTTTCTGAACACAGGTCAAAGAACTAAGAAAAACATACTTTAATAGCATCTTTGGCATCTACCACAGCAAGGTCTCGAAGGAGCCAAGCAATCTGCCTTTTGTAGAAATCTCCTTTATCAGATTTCTTGACTTTGACCATCTTTACCTGCACAGGGCGTTCAGTTGTCACTGTTGAGTAAAACACACTTTCATTAGGAATATTACTCACTTATTCTTCATCCATTCATCCACTCATGGCAAATGTCATTGTCAGGTGTCTGTACATGATTTAGAACAGAAGTAGTATTTCCTAATATGTGTTGATTGAGGAATGCACAGAGCATCAAAGGGAACATCTAAATCAGACAACTGGGTCAGAGGCAGGTTCCTTGAGAAGTAAAACTTCAGACCAGTTCTGAAATAATTGTATGAGGTAGATGAAAACAACTCTAAAGAATGACTGACTAATGTGAAGCCAAGTGGCTTGAAAGAGCCTAGCACCATCTCAGAGAACAGCGATTAGTAGTGCAATATGAATTGTACATGCCAGAAAGTGGATGGAAATGAAGTTACCAAAAACGATGAAAGTTCAGATCACAAAGGGCCTGTATGCTCTTGTTGGGGGTGCTCTTAGAGGATTTTAATTGGGGAAATGACATGTTCTAATTTGTTTCTAAAAATTACTCTGGCAGCAGAATAGTGGATGGATTGGAGTGAATGCCAGTACATTTAAAATTTTAGATGAAGTGGTTGAATCTCTAAAAAAATAAAAATAAAAATAAAAAAAATGTAAAACTTACCAAAACTGACTTAATAGAAAATATGGAAAAATTCTATAATCTATTAAAGAAATTGCATTAGTAAGTGAAAAATCTCTTCCCAAAAACCTAGTCCAATGCAGTTTTACTGGTATGTTTTGCTAAGCTTTCCAAGGAAACATTCCAAACATACATAACTATTCCACTCTACAGAAAACAAGGGAACATTCCCAACTTACTTTATGATTTTGGTTGTAGGGCCAAAGATAGTGTACAAAAGAAAATTGCAGGACCATGTCACTAATGAACACGGGGGAAACTCTTATAACTACAAATATACAAATAACTACAAACAAACACTGCATTGGCAAACTTAATCCAAGGGCATATACAAAAGATAGTATTCTGAGATGTATATTTTTTTCCACCTTCAGATCTCTGAAATGAGAATATGTCTTAACAACTGATGCAATACCACAGTATTTTTTTGAGTGGTACATAAAATAATAATATATACTATAATTGATGGCATATGGTACATCATGATTGAATTGGGTTATTCCAAGAACTCAATTTACAGGGGTGCCTGGGTGGCTCAGTGGTGGTGTGTTTGCCTTTGGCTCAGGTCGGGATCCTGGGGTCCTGGGATCGAGTCCTGCATCAGGCTCCCAGTGGGGAGCCTACTTCTCCCTCTGCCTATATCTCTGCCTCTCTTTCTGTGTCTCTCATGAATAAATAAAATCTTAAAAAAAAAAGAACTCAATTTATCATTCTAAAAGCCAAGTGCAATCACCACCAACAAATTAAGAAAACTATATGATAATCTCAATGATTTGAAAAAGTATTTGATAAAATTGAACACTCATTCAATGGTAAAAAACCAAAAAGAAAAAAAGTAAAAAGTCAGGAATAGAAGGGAGCTTCCTTTAGCATTGTAGAGGATAGCTACAAAAAACCATTGCCATTAAAAAGTGAAGCCATTCCCTTTGAGATCAACACTATATTGACAGTCCTAGCCAGCAGACTAAAGCAACAAAAACAAATAAAAAATATAAAGACTATAAAGGAAGGAAGAAAATATCACTATTTACAAAGAGTCTATGGACAAATTATTAGAATTAATAAGAAAGTTTAGCAAGATTTATATAGAAATGCATATAAAAAACCAATTGTATTTCTAGATTCTAACAAGAAATTATTTTTAAAACGTATTTATGTTCAAAAAACTAAAAGCTTCTGCTCTGCAAAAGACATCAAGAGAATTAGAACACAAACCAGACTGCAAGAAAATATTTGCCAAAGACACATCTAATGAAGGAATGTTACCTAAAATGTACAAAGGACTTTTTTTAAAAAAAATGATTTTATTTATTTATTCACGAGAGAAACACAGACAGGCAGAGACATAAGCAGGCTCCTTGCAGGGAACCTGATGCGGGACTTGATCCCTAGACCCAGGATGATGCCCTGAGCCAAAGGCAGATGCCCAACTGCTGAGCCACCCAGGCATCCCATACTCTTTTTTTTTTTTTAAGATTTATTTATTTGAGAGAGATAGAGAGAGAGACGGAGCATGCATATAGTGGGGAAGGAGCAGAGAAAGAGAGTCTTAAGCAGACTCCATGATGAACTTAAGCAGACTCCATGATGAACTCAGGGCTCCATCTCACAACTTTAAGATCACAACCTGAGCTAAAACCAAGAGTTGGATGCTTAACTGACTGTGCCATCCAGGTACCCCTATACAAAAGGACTCTTAAAACTCAACAATAAGAAAAAAAAAAACCTAATTAAAAAATAGCCAAAGATTTTAACAGACATTTCCCAAAGAAAATATATAGATAACAAATAAGATGATTATACACCTATTAGTATGGCCAATTTCCAGGACCTGACAACACCAAATGCTGACAAAAATGTGGAGCAACAGAAACTCTGAAGCATTGCTGGTGGCATTGCAAAATGATACAGCCACTTTGGTAGAAAGTTTTGCAATTTCTTACAAAACTAAACATACTCTTACCATATGATCCAGCAATCACACTCCTTGGTAGTTAGCCAAAGGAGTTGAAAACTTAGCTTCATGCAAAAATCCACACGAGCGCTTATAGTTTTATGCATAATTGTTAAATTGACAATCGAGATATCCTTCACAGCAGGTGAGTAGATAAAATGAGATACATCTAGGCATGGAATATTATTATTTCATGGCTATCAAGCTATGAAAGGGCATGGAGGAACGTAAAAGCAGACTACTAAGTGAAAGAAGCCAATCTGAACAGGCTACAGACATACTGTATGATTCCAACTATATGACATTCTGGAAAAGGCAGAATCAGGCAAGTAAAATGAACAATGGTTGCAAAGAGTAGAGGTTGGAGACAGATTAACAGGCAGAACACACAGGATTTTTAGGGCAGTGAAAATATCTATCCTGTATTATATTACAATGATAGATATATTTCATTATACATTTGTCCAAAACCATACAATGCATAATACTAAGGGTGAACATTAAGGTAAACTAGGGACTTTGAATGATTACTATGAGTCAATATAGGTTCATTCTTGGCAACAAACTGTTGTCATTGTTGCTAGCAATATTGATAAAGGAGGAGGCTATACATACGTGGGGGCAGGAGATGTATAGGACATCTGTGTACTTCCCCTACTTTGTTGTAAACCTTAACTGCTATAAAAAATTAAAGTCTTTAAAATGTATTAATACTAATAAGTTATTTATTATAGTATCAAAAAATCTAGGAATAAATACAACATATGTGTAAAACCTTTGAAACTATGTAACTTATTGAAAGTCTTTAAAATTGGGGATCCCTGGGTGGCGCAGCGGTTTGGCGCCTGCCTTTGGCCCAGGGCGCGATCCTGGAGACCCGGGATCGAATCCCACATCGGGCTCCCGGTGCATGGAGCCTGCTTCTCCCTCTGCCTGTGTCTCTGCCTCTCTCTCTCTCTCTGTGACTATCGTAAATAAATAAATAAAAAACCTTTAAAAAAAAAAAAAAAAGAAAGTCTTTAAAATTGTAAAACTTATTGAAAGGCATTAAAGAAGACCTAGATAAATGGAGAACTGCACTATGTCCATGGACAAGAAGACCCAATATCATGAAAATGCAAGTTCTCTTTGAACTGAACGACAATTCAAAACAATCTTAATTAAAATCCCAACAGAATCTGGAACTTGCCAAGTGGATTCTAAAATTTAGGTAGAAGAATAAAGAACCAAAACAAGACAAAATAAAAGCCAGATACAGGAGAACCCAGAAATAGGCATACATACTTTATCACAAGGACACAGGTAAAAACTAAAGTTTTTAAACTAAAGCAAAAACTAAAATGTGAATGGCAAAAATACATAATCTTTAGAACATGGTATAGGAGAATACTTTTATTACTCCAGGGAAGTGTGTGTGTGTGTGTGTGTGTGTGTGTGTGTGTGTGTGTATATTTTTTTTTTAAGTAGGCTCCATGCTGGGGCTTGAACTCACAACCCTGTGATGAAAACCTGAGCTGAGATCAGGAGTTGCATGCTCAACCAAGAGACACCTCTCTATGGAAGTATATCTGTCTTAAATAATATAAAAAAACTGGAAACCATATAGGATCAGATTGACCAATGTGATTTCATTAAAATTAGAAATTTCATAAAAAGCTCATACACAAGCCACAAACTGGGAGGCATATAAACAATACAGGATTGGTAAATATATAGAACTTGTACAAATCTGTAAAAGAGCAACCAATACAACAGAGAAATAAGCAAAAGGCTTTAAGGCAAATTACTAAGCAAGGTAACCAAATGGCCAATAAACTCATGAAAAGATGCTCAATTTCATCATTTATAGGAAAATTTAAAACCACAAGGAGATATTATTTTACATATTATTTCCACCAGGTTGGAATCAATTATGTCTGTCAAAACTAAGTGTCAAAACCAAGTTTTTACTAGGATGTAGAAAAAGAACTCAAAACACACACTGCTTGTGGGATTGAAAACCAATGTGATGGGACGCCTGGGTGGCTCAGCGGTTAAGTGCTTTCAGCCCAGGGCATGATCCTGGAGACCTGGGATCGAGTCCCATCTCAGGCTCCCTGTATGGAGCCTGCTTCTCCCTTTGCCTGTGTCTCTGCCTCTCTCTGTGTGTGTGTGTCTCTCATGAATAAATAAATAAAATCTTTAAAAAAAAAAAAAGAAAACCAACCTAACTACTTTTGAAAATAATTTGGTATTAGTGTTGAACATTTATGCCTATATCCCAGCAATTTCACAATTAGGTATCTACCCTAGAAAATTCTTGCCTAGGGGCCCCTGGGTGGCTCAGTCAGTTAAGTACCTGCCTTTGACTCAGGTCATGATCCCAGGGTCCTAGGATTGGGATTGAGCCCCACATTGAGCTCCCTGCTCAGCGAGGAGCCTGCTTCTCCCTCTGCCCCCCGCCCATGCACATGTGCGCTCTCTCTGAAACAAATTTTTAAAAATTGAAAAAAAAAGAAAATTATTGCCTATATACATGAGACAAAGACAAACATGTTCATAGAAGTGCTGTCTGAACAGTAAAACCTGAAAACAAACCTAATGTTCATCATTAGTAGACTATGTAATTAAACTGATAACTCTCATAGAGTAGAACACTCCATAGGAGCAAAAATGAAAGAATTATGGTTACATGAAAAAAACAGAAATAAGACTCATGAACATGAACATAATGCTGAGTGGAAAAAGTCACAAAAAGATATATGCACTGTGATTCAATTCCTGTAAATTTCAAAGACATGTGAAACCAAACAATATGTTATTTGAGATTAAATACATATATAGTAAAATGATAAAGAAAAACAAGGAAAGACTAAACCAAAATTCAGGACACTAGTTACTTCTTAATGAGTGGGGGAAGGGAATGGGCTTAGGAAAGGGTGCACAGGACACTTCACAAACAGTAATAGTAATATTCTTCTTACATTAGGTGGTAAGCACACGAGTGTTTGCTGTATGGTTAGTCTTTACACCTTATATACTCAGTATAGATTCTTTAGTATCTACTCAATATTTAATTAAAGGCAATTTAAAAAATGAATTTGTTGGCCCAACAGTCTTTCCAATTACAGAGACAATGAGAATACTAAAAAAGAGGAGGAAATGTCCCCTGGTGAATAAAATACTAAAAGAATGCCAAACGAGCTTTTTCTAACTAAATACCCACCTGTAGCACACAAAAAACAGTTCTTTTTCTTTTTTCCCGCTTTGCAGACATTGACAATACTCAGCAGGCGTTCATCATTTGGTGTAAAAATATCTCTTTGTAACGCATGCTTGATTGCTGTCATTCTTAATCAACTAAAAAAAAATTGAGAGTATAGATATTAAGGTCATTCTCAATACCATTCTATCTCATATTGTTCCACTTATGATTTAAAAAATGATCTTATTTGTGGCTAATAAGCATAGGAAGAATGATTTCATACATCAACAAACCAACATCATAAAAATAAAAAGCTGTATGTTTGGAAAAGAAATTATAGAGAACTAGCATTATCAAACTCTAAAAATTTTGGAAGTGCCTACCAAATATTAAGGTACAAAAATTTTTTAAGAAAAAAAGCCCCATGCACAATATTTAAATATAAATTTCCTCTATAAGGAGTTCTTTACAACTCAACAATAAAAAACCAATTAAAAACTGAGCAAAGGATCTGAATAGACATTTCTCCAAAGAAAATATACAAATGGCCAATAAGTACATGAAAAGATGCTCAACATCATTAACCACTAGGGAAATGCAAACCAAAAACAAATGTGATAATTACAACTTTATATATAACATATATATATATATATATAGAATTTATATATATTTAGCCATTCACTGGAATGGCTAAAATTAAAAAGACAAGTTTTGGTAAAGATGTGGAGAAAAAGAAACTCCCTTTTTTTTTTAAAAAAAAGATTCTATTTACTTACTCATGAGAGACAGAGAGAGAGAGAGAGAGAGAGAGAGAGAGAGAAGAGGAAGAGACACAGGCAGAGGAAGAAGCAGGCTCCATGCAGGGAGCCGGACGCGGGACTCGATCCTGGGTGTCCAGGATCATGCCCTGGGCTGAAGGTGGCTCTAAACCGCTGAGCCACCCAGGCTGCCCAAAGAAACTCTTTCATACATTTCTGGTAATTGTAAAAAGCTGCAGCCACTTTGGAAAAACAGTTTGGCAGTTCCTCAAGAAGTTAAATATGAAATTACCATATGACCCACCAATTTTATTACTTGGTATATACTCAAGAGAACAAAAAATACATGTCCACACAAAAACCTGTACATGAAAGTTCATAGCAGCATTATCCCCAATAGCCAAAAGATAGATAGATACAACTCAAATATCCACCAACTAATGAAATGATATAACAAAATGAAGTATATCTACAGAGGAATATTATTTGTCCATAAAAAGGAATGAAGTACTGATATATGCTACAACACTGAAATTTAAAAACATTACGCTAAGTGAAAGAAGTCAGTTAAAAGACCACATATTCTATGATTTTGTTTACATGACATGTCCAGAATAGACAAATCTATAAAGACAAAATGATTTGTGGTTGCTAGGGGTTAGGGGCAAGAAGGAAGGGGGGGTGGCTATTAATGCGTATGGAGTTTCTTTTGAGGTGCTGAAAATGCCCTTGAATTAGATAGTAGGGCAGCCCTGGTGGCTCAGCGGGTTAGCACCGCCTTCACTTCAGCTTCCTGATCCTGGAGACCTGGGATTGAGTTCCACGTTGGGCTCCCTGCATGGAGCCTGTGTCTCTGCCTCTCTCTCTCTCTGTGTGTGTGTGTGTGTCTCATTAATAAATAAATAAAATCTTAAAAAAAAAAAAGAATTAGTAGTGATGGTTGTAAAACTTTGTGAATATATTAAAAATTGAATTATACACTTGAGAAGGTGAGTTTTATAGTATACGAATTACATCTCAATAAAGCTATTATAAAGAGAGGTTTCTCACTAAATTCAATGTCTTTCTTCAAATGTCAACTTAAATATTTTTAAAAATCTCTTTTCAACTTTATTTTTAAGTGTATGTATATATAATGTACAAACACACACACACACACACACACACTACTATTTTCCAATGTGAACTAACTTCTAATACCGTTTCTAGGGAAAATGAAGAAATTATGAATTTTAAAAGACACAAATGAATTTTTATAACACAATGACAATTTTGGAAACTAGGTATCTCCTATGTCTTACTCAATCTGTGAAACTTCAATTTCTGCCCCAGTTTGAAAAATTGCTTTTCTTACAAGAAATCACATCTTCCCACTTCCATTCCTTTTTCACCTCATCTTGGCCTTTAGTGTTCTGACCTCCCCCTCCTTCCTGTTCTCATCCTCTCTCTGGCCTCTCCAGCTTAATTTCTTTTCCAACCTAGCCTGGAGGCAGTTTTCACCCATACTATCTTCTTCAATTATCTTATCTGTTTGTAGATTAGTTTACCATGTTTTATCAATCACCGTGAACTGTATTTTTCTCCACTACTTGTGGGCTACCGTACACCACTTAAGAAGGCCATATACATATGTTCATTGCATTCATTACAAATATCTAAATCTGATCAAAGGTAGACTTTCACTATTGCTCAGTAACCCTTTAACAATTCCTTTGATGACTCCTCTTCCTATTCTCCATCAGTGTATTGCAGATCTTTATCTTCTTCAATCTCCAGTTCTAGTGTCAGCAAATGATGTTGTCATCTACCCTGCAGAAGATTAGGAAGCCATGAAGTACGATTTTTCCCCAACTGCTTTTTTCTCCATCTCATTACATCTTCACCCATTCCAACATCCATTCTACCTATTGTAATATTTTGTGTCTATGTTACTAATCACTTAATATGTTCTAGGGCCTAGACACTGTAGTAAAAGCTCTACTCTATCCTATGTCGAAGCTACTCTGGATGATGGCCACTTTACTTTTCTATCTCTGGGCTTTGTTCATGCAATTTCCTTTTCCTGGAATTCTTTTCCCCCTAGGAAATTCCAACTCAATCTTCAAGATCCTGCTAAAATGTCACCTCTTCTGTGAAGTAGTCACACACACAAAAAGAATAATTCTTTTATACTTCTCAAACATTTCCCCTCTACTCTGCTAACAGAGTAGCAAACCATATTTTCTAGTTAGTTGTATTCTCTCCCCCATTAAAAGCAGCTCTTTGTAGGAAAGTACCATATCTTATTCATCTTTGTATTCCTAGAAATTGGCAAAGACATAGCAGGCATTTCAAAATTAAGCAAAATGATAGCAACAAATAACATGACAACTAAAGTTTCCCTGATTCCCCCTTTCCAACTCTCACACCTGTAAGCAAATGTCCAGGTTCAAAATCCATCATATTTGATTCTCCTCCTCCATGTCAACATGAAATCTTAATGCCACATTCTGCTAATTTCCTCTCATCTACCTGTAATTTACCTTTCCTTTCTGTTCCCACTGCTAACACACTAATCCAGGTTCACATCAACTATATCCATTTAACACTTCAGTATCTGGTTATCTCTTTGCAAGTTGCCACAATCCCCAAATCCTTGATAAACACATAATATTTAAACATAGCTTTCATCACAGTATGTCCCTGCTCCACATTCCCCCAAGGTTTCCAAATACAGATCTTCCAGTCCAAGCCCTCTCCTTGTTGCAGTCTTTACATCTTTGCTTAGTGCTTTTCCATGCAGAGAGTATCATCTACCCAAACCCTAATTACACTTCATAGTTTATGTGGAATTGATTCAATAATGATCTTAATCCAAACTGATCTCTCCTCCTGATTGCTAGAGCAATTTTTGTATTTACTAAACAATCAAGCACTTGCTGTCCAATTGGTTCATGAGATCATAAGCTTGTAGACTTCAAGAACGAGAGAGAGAGAGAGAGAGAGAGAGAGAGAGAGAGAGAGAGAGAGAGAGGTTCTCCAGCATTGTTCTGTGTTATTTTTTAGAAGGTACTCAGCAGGGATCCCTGGGTGGCACAGTGGTTTAGCGCCTGCCTTTGGCCCAGGGTGTGATCCTGGAGACCTGGGATCGAGTCCCACGTCGGGCTCCCTGCATGGAGCCTGCCTCTCTCTACATATATATCTTATCATGAATAAATAAACACAATCTTAAAAAAAAAAGAAGGTACTCAGCAAATACCCCTTGAGATAACCTGAATAGTAAAAACTGGTCAAATGAATAATAGTGGTCAACGTTGACCACACAGTCCCTCTTGGGTCAAAAGCAACAATGAGTATTGGGTTAAGTATAAAGCAAAAGAGGACTGGTTATACCTCATAAAGGAGTTAGGCATAATGGAAAGTACGATGCGACCCTTGTTCATTCAGCAAGTACTGATGCCTACTAAGCATCACCCACTGTTCTACATTAGAGGTGAATATGACAGACATGCTCAAGAAGACCAGATCGTGCTTCCATCGCATTTACGTTCTAAGTAAGGGTCCAGCCTTTAGAGCACCTTTGTGTAAGTCAGTGAATAAGTCATCAGCTCCTTTAAAACTATCTTCCAGGTTTAAGAATCCAGGTCTGACCACGTTCCAGAAATAGGCAGCCACTGGTTCTTGTTTCCTTAAACTCAGTGGGACCGGGGATTCCCTGGCTGGCTCAGCGGGTTAGCAGCTGCCTTCGGCCCAGGGCGTGACCCCCGGAGACCCGGATCGAGTCCCGCGTCGGGCTCCCTGCACGGAGCCTGCCTCTCCCTCTGCCTGTGTCTCTGCCTCTCTCTCTCTCATTCTCATGAATAAATAAAATCTTAAAAAAAAAAACCCTCAGTGGGACCATTACACTGCGCGACAAAGAGCTTGTCAATGGGAGTGTCCGCGTGGGTCGGGCCCCGTGTGCTATGGAGGCAACTCGGCAAGCGGAGCATTGTCACGCAGACGAGGAAGCCGTGACACGGACAGGGGAGTGCGCTTCCGAGATCTACAGGAAAATGTGGATTTGGACTATGAAGAAGGCATCGTCACGCCCTCCTCTCCTGGCCCACGCCAGAGAGCAAAAAAAGATCAGGGCCGTTCTGCACAAATGAAATCTTGGTTCTTATGGGTGAAACCGGGAAGGGATGTGTGAGGACTGCTCTCCCAGCCGCCCGGACAGCAAGGAGGTGGTGGATGCTCCTAACGGGCTGTGCGCCTGACCCAGACCGCGGAGAGAGGGGTACCCCACCCGGCCGCGGAGCCAGCAGAGGGGCCGAGGCGCCGCCTCAGACCTCGGCGCCCGCCTGGGTGCTAATGGGTCCGCCGCCGCCGGGACTACGGGGCAGCCACGGCCCAAGGCTTACCGCAAGGCCGGACCGAGCCCGGCTGTGCCGAGGCAGGTCCTCCAAGACAGACACCGGGCAGGGCCGGGGCGGCCACCGCTACAAGGATGAGCCCGTCAAGTGAGCCGTTCCGCCACCACTTCCCGTTTCCGGGCACGTGACAACTCCACGCCGGAAGTCGACCCCGTAGAGGAGGAAGGAGGGGCGCTGGTGGGCGGGGCGAGGCGGGCAAGGTCTCGCGGGGGCGGGGGGGGCGGGGGGCGTGTCAAGGAGGGCGGGGGCGGGGCCGCTCTTGCTCGGAGACGGACTTGGCACCTGGGAATACTGGGGTCGGCGCGAGGTTACTTTTTTTTTTAGAAGAGTTACTTATCCCGATATTTTCTGCAATTTCATTTAAGAAGCGGTCCGATTAAGCGTTTTCCCTTTCTGTGTATGTAAAGCTGTTAACTCTAGATCCTTGCTACTTACAGCGTGGGGAGTTTAAAGGACTTAAATCAGAATTTCCGAGGGGTGGGGACCCAGACTATTCTCAAAATCTTCCGAGAAGATCCTAACATGCAGCTAAGATTGAGAACTGTTGATGTACGCACCTTGATGGTCAAAGTGTGGTCCTCAGACCAGCTGGTAGGGCATCAGCTATCTGAGGGCTTTTTAGATCCTGCAGCCTCTCCGCAGACCTATTGAATATTCGCATCTATTGAATCTGAATCTGCATCTTAACAAAATGACGTCTACGCACACGTAAGTTTGAGCAGCACCAATGGTGCCAAGGTTGCTGGTTGCAAGACAGGTAATTCGTATTCCATATTCCTGGCATTGGTTTTATGCCAGGCACTTTGATCCAGGTGCAGAGGTGATTCAGACCTAAATCCTACCCTGAAACAGTTCACAGTTTGGTAGGTACAAATATACATAAAATAAGATAACAAAATAAGTGACCAAGGAGATGTACAGGTCAGATAAGTGTGCTGGGAATTCGAAGGCATGATTTCTTTGCTCCTGCTCAACACAATCTTTTGTAGGTGTTCTGCAGGGTCCATTCATGTATGCATTCATTTTTTTTTTTTTTGGACAAAGTTTAACTTCTATACCAGGCATTGTGTCAGGTGCTGGAGGTACAAATGCAAGGATCCCATGAGAAGAGGGCACACTCTCCTTGGGGGAACAGACTTAAATACATGGATAAATTACAGTTTGGTGAGGTAATTCCAACAACAAAGGTAGACAAGAGACTACAAAAGAGGAAGTAACTCTATCAGGGATGGAGTCGCTGAAAAAGAGAAAAATAAGTTGTGTAAAGTATCCTCTAGTGTCTGAGTATATAATTTGGTAGGAAAAATATCAGGGTTAGTTTTTTTTTTTTTTTAGATTTTTTATTTACTTATTCATGAGAGGCACAGACACAGACACAGGCACAGGCAGAGGGAGAAGCAGGCTCCATGCAGGGAGCCAGACGTGGGACTGGATCCTGGGTCTCCAGGATCAGGCCCTGGGCTGAAGGCAGCACTAAACTGCTGAGCTACCCAGGCTGCCCAAAAATCAGTTAGTAAAGACCTATTTGATACTGAGTTTAATATGCTCTAGTGAATGCTACCTCAAATGCTTTTCAATTTCATTAAATGATTTTCCTTTTAAGAGCGGGATCTATATCTAGTACTATCTTTAAAAAGACTCATTTGGCCTTTCGTGCCCAGTACTAGAACTCTTACTGTGGACACTATTTATGTGACAATTGCATGTGCTATTTTGTCCTGGTTTTTTTTTCTTCTGTAAATTAACAACTGTATGTTTGTGGCCCTCTTCAAAGCTAGGATTAGTGAATTGCGTTTTAGAAGTCTGGACTTCTTTCCTGAACTCCAGATTTGTGTATACACCATCTCCACAACATTTGCATTTGCATGTCTTATCAGGCATCTCAACTTTTGGTCCAAAAATTATTCTCTCCCCTCTCCCCTCTTGGATTTTCTCCAGTCGAAACTAAAACAAAGGCTTATGTACAGTAGTTTATTTGGGGCTTTGACCCTAAGGAGCAAGAGTAAGAGAGGGAAAGTAAAACAATGAAGAAAGAGAAGCAATATAATGATGTGTTACTGAGTTGGTCATCACCATATTTGAATATTTTCTTGATCTCTTAAGACTTTCTGAGAAGTTTCATGAGATGAGTCTCAAAACTGCCCACTGAAGGCGAGAATGGAGCCCAAAGTGATCAAGTAATAGAATTTCAAGGTTACTGAATTCCATGCTGTGTATTCTGCTGGAAATATCCCTCCACCCAAGGCCTGGAGAACTATTATTATCTAGCAAAACCTAAATTTGAGAGTCAGGAAACATAAATCTATAAGTGACTCACTGATAAGATGGGCCAATCCTTTTCCAATGCCTGGGTTTCTAGAGCCATGTCTTTAACTGTTTAGGGATACTCTTTATTGGTTGGTTTTGAGCATTTACCACATCTTGTAGGAGAACACCTCAATCCCAAGCAGACATATTAACTGGGTTTGTAGCAAGCCATTCCACTACTTTTATGAACCTGGCTGCCTCTGAACGATGTGTGATATTTCAATATTAGTGGATTCCATGGTGATGTGTATATTGTCACTTTGAGGTTTCTTTGGTTTGGGGCTCTGAAGTGGATTCCTTGGTTGAGATAATGTTGATCAAGAATGTTATAATTCTGGTGCTCGTGGATGTTGGCAGAGTCACCGTAGGCAAGACAGAAAAACCTAGACAGCTGTAAAGATTTTTATTTCAGGCCACTTTTCTCTATATATAAAGCAAACAGGAAGAACACTCTTCTAAACTCCGCCAGCTGGGAAGATTCCCCTTCACCTTTGTTCTTTAGAGCCATTCCTGAGTGGAACTGTAGTGCAACAACAGTCCAATTTTGCCTACCTACCAACATAATATTCCATCTATCTGTGAACCAGATTTAAGTTTTTGATTCTTAGGTGGTCATAGGAACCTCCCAGAAGGCCATAGGAGTGAGTTGATAAACAGATGTCAGTGCTGTGGAAGTGCCAGGGGTTGAATTTACCCAGTCATGTAGTTTGCTTGTGTCTCCTGGATCTGCTCAGGCTCGATCCCATACCATTTCCATCCTTCATACATTCCTGCTATATCCATGTGCTTATGACGTGGTAGATCTGATTCTATGCAGCTCATGAAAAATAGCTCTAGTTTTGGGGCACCTGGGTGGCTCAATGGTTGAGTGTCTGCCTTTGACTCAGGTTGTGATCTCGGGGTCCTGGGACTGAGTCCTGCATCAGGCTCCCCACAGGGAGCCTGCTTCTCTCTCTGCCTATGTCTCTGCCTCTCAGTGTGTCTCATGAATAAATAAATAAAATCTTTGAAAAAAATACCTTTAGTTTTTCCAGTGACTGGTTCTCTGGCCTTGCAGAACATGAAGGACCTGTACTGCAACTCTTTTATCAGGGACTTTCCAGAAATTTCAAAGTGTTTTTTTTTTTTAAATCTATCATAGATCCCTCTAGCACCATTAGATCTGCTCAAACAAATGACCTGAGCGTTAATTGACTTGCATCATAGCCCTTGTGGCAGTATATCCAAGTGATCCAAGCACTTTAGTTTTACAACAAGTTCATTCTAACATCCTTAATTCTGAGAAACATTCTAATGGTGGTTCTTTAGTCTCATGATCAATTCATTCTAACATTTCTATTTCTCTGTCTTCTGATTCCTTTCTCAATATTCATTCAAAATTGTTCAAACATCTCTTTTAGCACAGGCCATCATCATATCCAAGCTTTATGAAGACATCAAGGTTGTGTGTTAGAACTGACTCCATGTGTCTTTGCCAAAACATTAAATCCAGAATCACAGATGAATGGCCCTATGATATAAATTCTCCCCTATTCAGCCTTACAACCTTTGGTTTAACACTCTAAATATTCACTCTCACAGATATTCCCCTGGTTCAAATCAGTACGTTGTAGCAGTCCTGCAATTCTTTAAGAGTTAGTCTATACCAGTTCTATATCTAGGGGACATTTGGTAATGTCTGGAGACATTTTTGGTTATTAGACATTATTATAAGGGTTCTGCTAGAATCTAGTCAGTAGATGCCAGGGATGCTATAAATAGTCTACAATACACAGGACAATCCTCCATAGCAAAGAATTATCTAGCCCAAATGTCACAAGGGCTGAGATTGAGAAATCCTGGTCTACTTATCCTTAGAGCAGGGATTGCAATCCCCTATATAGATTGTAACTGAGGTCTGACCATTGTTACTGGCTTGAGGTAATGAGAGCAATAGGGGTGGATATTGAGGGAAATAAGATTAGGAAGCACTTGCCTCAGATATATTTGCAGAATTTCTGGACAAGGAGAGACTGTTTTCCTTTATCAGGAGGAAAGAGACTATTGGCATAGAAGATGAAAAAAATCTGAAGATTTAGGAGTATAAGGCATGTCCATTCAAATGTCCCCATTCTCGATCTCCGGTTCCATTATTTTCCTATTAGGGCCCTGGCTTTGAGACAGGTAATGTTTCAAGGCTGTGCATTCAGACTTCTTTGTAGCTCTACCACACTTATGATTATATGTTGGGGCTGATTTTTAGTACAGTCTGCTCTGTGGCTACACTGCCCTAGAGGATTTATGGCTTTCACAGTGTACCATGATTAACTGAATACAGCCTGTCAATTTCTTTTGTTAAGATCCCAAAATCAGTTAACAGTATCAGGCCATCTTATAATTATTATTGCTTTCACAATGCTGAAGTACCATGTGTACCACGTATTCCAGTGCTTCATCTTCTGTCTGCCCCTTATTCCAATCTATTCGAGTTGGTTAGAGTTGAGAGTCTTGGTAATTGTAATGTCACTATATGCCAGGGGTTATCACCACTTGCAATTTACCATCACCCACTTACCACCAGGAGGGGTCCTTATCGTCTTGTGATCAGTGTTATAGGATCAGTCTCTAAAATCCCATATTGAAGGTTTCCTTTCTGGAGCCAGGTTTAGTGCCCAGGGTTCCCCTGAAAGCAGAGCCCAAAAGGAGGGCTTACATGCTTGTAGTTTATTTGAGAATATGAGTTCAGGGAACAGAATGAGGGCACAGAGGAAATAAAATAGAGAAGGAAGAAAAAACAGTACAACTGTACATTATTGAGGTG